GTTTCTTGCAAAATGTTCCAAAACAGCCACCGATGACTCCACATATTTCCTCTTTTGTTCGGTTGTCAAAAGTTTGGGGATCCACTTTGCTGCCAGCTGTCTCATTTCCAAGTCATTGTGGATGATGGCATCAACTCTCTCATGGCTGATATTCGGTGTTCCTCCATTATCATATCATGGATGGCTTTTAGATTTGCAGGCAGAGAGACAGAAAGAGTCCTTCCACTGGGTTTCTCACTTTCAACACTGAAATGGCCAGTTTAAAAATTGACAACCCAATGTTTAACTGTTGCATATGAAGAGCCATTGTCACCCATAATTTGTGACATATCATCATGGATCTGCTTTACACCTTTCCCTTGGAAAAACAGGAACTTGCTTATGGTCCTATGCTCTTCCACACTGAACTTTTCTGGAGGTGCCACCATATTCACTTTGGACTGGAAAGTGAAAGTTAAGTTAAAATCATAGGTAGTTGCTTTTTGCATCGTTGAATATAGACAAATAGGCCAATATACCCTGCAATTTATAGCTTCCTAGCTCAATTTTTTTCTGGGTAAGGCTCAATACTTATCAGCACCCCCTTGTAACTGCTATACCACACAGTTTCATTTATGGCTTACTGGTCATGATGACTGTGGACAATGATGACTGTGGATATGTTAATGCACATATCAAAATCATACAATATAGTCAAATCAGCAACACAAAAATTAACCTTATGGAGTAAAGTTAGGTATTCAGGCTTTTAGGATGTGTACTGTGTACATCAGGATGTGTAGCTTGGTTTTAAAAAAATACTTTAAAGATCATCAGTATCAAAGCTGTTTCCTTTACATTTTCAAAGTTTTGTTAACAATTTGAAGAGATGGAAACTCAGACATTGAAAAACATCAAGAATAAAATGGGAGTTTGTTGAGAAATGTATTCCTGCTCTTGGAAGGTGTCTCAGGATTTCAGGGCACCAATAACAACCACCCTTATCTGCATTTCACACCTTAAATTGGTATTCTGTGGAGCTTAGCCTGAGTGGAAAGTCCTTCCAGAGCAGTTATATAGGATCATGCTTTTTGTGGAAGTGTTGCCATTGGGCAGGTGGAGAACAGGCTTTCTTCATAGAGTTTGCTATTTGTACAGTGGAAATCGATGCATGGCCAGCACAATTTTGCATTACTACACTGGTGTGACTTTCTCTTCACCAGAAGCTCAACAGGACACTGGCTATCAAATTTATATTCTCCTGGCAATGGTGTTTAGCACACACTTGATCCTAGTACAAATTCTTATTTTATGCAGCCAGGTATCCAGAGCTGGAGTCCCGGAGGCAGTTCATGTCATTCTGGCAACTCCTGCAACATCGCTGGAACCAGTTGTATTGGCTCTTGCCCTTCCATTGGACTATTTCAGCGATGTGGAGAGGGGGGATTTGCTGCTTGGATAACAGCCTGTCCTCCATATTATTTTACCCAGGCTTTGTGCTCTGGAGAGGACACTCCAGCTTCGCATACAGCCTCGAAGTCCTCCATACAGAGCACGTTACCATAGTCTCTCGAGACTTAAGGATGCCCATGTATCCAGTTCAGGTAGGAAGGATGCATTTAAGATGTGGCTGATGCATGGAATGTTAAGAATTTGGTGAGAGTGTAAACAAGCTATGAGCAAAAAGAAATAAGAGAAAAGATCTGAACTGAAAAGATATCATGAAGAAATAAATTATCTATTATAGCAAGAAACCTAGATGAGACTTGCCTTTGTGCTCTCCTCCTCTTCCAGTGCAAAGTGGATGTTGGATATTTTTTGCTCTGATTTCCACTTAACCATAGTTTAGCGTTGCATCTTAACAACAGTTGGTTTACCAAAATGTGCCTGCTAATTTCAAAACATGCCTGCCTATTCCATTTAGCCCACTTATACAAATGCTGTGGGGTTTTTTGGAAATCCGTCTGCTTTGTATACCACAATTTGATGCCGTTTGTGATGATCATTCTTATTTAAAATGTGTTGTAGCTTAAATATTTCATTTTTGAAACATCATCACCACCACATGTCGTCAAATAAGTTCTGACCTACCGTGAGCCTTTCCAGGGTTTCTAGGTACAGTATACAGTATTTTAAATGGTTTATTATTCCCTTCTTCTTGGGGAGCTTCCCCAAGGTTACAGTCTGACTCTTCTTTTAAGGAAGCACAGTGGGGAATCAAACTCCCAACTCTTGATTTTGAAGTCAGATATCGGATTCACTGAACTATCTTTTCCACCTATTGTGGCCTGAGAGTTATGCATTCAAATACCATATTATGCGACAACCTGTTTATATAGTTGTTCTTTAAAAGTTTTGTAACAGTTTTTGGATTACGGTCACAATTTTATGAGGTTCTGTAGGCTTATGTCTATAGCGAGATGTGCTTGTTAAACACCGTATATGAAGATGAGAAGTAGTAGTAGGTTTGATCAGCCCTTTTTTCCAGCTCTGACTGAAGTTATTCTTGGAACTTTTCCCTCTCACATGATACAGCACTAGAAATTCTAGGAAGCCCTATTAAATTTTCTAGGATTGCTTTCAGTAATTTCCTTGAGTGCTCCTGATTACATTAGAGCAAAAGCCCTAGTTATTGTCCCCCTACAACTTTGTATAGACAAAGTCAGGCGTTCATAGTTTCAGATATTGGAAATTTCAATGAGTAAAGAATTATTGAGGTGGAGTTTTAGCAGGTCAAGGAGATTGAGAAAAATGTGTATTAAGTAACAAGAAGAGTGTCCCTTTGTCTTGATGATCCATAGGTCCCTTCACACTCTGCAGTTCTAGGATTGTTAGAATAAAATCAAGTCTTTCTGAGCAGGGATTTAAATCATAACTCAGTCGGATTTAAATCAAATCTATCCTGCAAAAAGGTAACTTCTCCAAGCGCTGAGTTATATTCAAGTGCAGACAAGCAGGCCAGTCTCTGTGCAAAATAATTAATGGACACAAATTGATTATCAAGAATGGCAATAAATAGAAGCCTATTTCAGATAATTTTAATTTATCTGGACACTCTGCACAAGTTGCCATTCTTGAGAAGTAAAATTACACGACAAGAATCCAGAGAGAGACCGCTAAGATAAAATATGTATGCATGTTTAAAACCCATCTCAGTGGACTCAGTATAAGCCAAAGTTTGATTATAAAATTACATGATAAAATGTAACATATTCTGTTGTATCTGCTGAAATTCCCAGCTATCCAACATATGCCATTGAACAATCGGACAGTTTATATGCCATTTCCTTACTATCCAGCACTGCCACCTCACCCGCCCATTGGTGATTAGAGATACAGTACTTGTTACTGTATTGTTCCTGCTTGTTATCTATGTGTGTGTTCTGTGCCATCAAGTCCAGCTGATTTATAGCAGCTGTAATAAGTTTCAAGGTAAGAGAGTTATTTAAGGAGTGGTTTTACCAGTTCCACTCCCCCAGTCAGTTTCCAGGGGCTAAATGGAAATTTGAACCATATTTTCCAGAGTCCGGTTCCTTACTCTATCCACTACACCTTACTGGCAATTCTTATTATAATATGAGATTAATTTAGCTATCATTGTCATTGTTTACATACAGAACATTGCTTCCTGAGAGGGGAAGTGAATATCACCAAGGGTTTTAAAGGTCATTGCCAGGTCAACAACCTCTGCCCAAATACAATCTCTAATTTGGGACCATGAATAAATGTATAAATACCGGTATTTGCTGTTCTGTTTGAGGAAATGGATTTGTCCACGAAAGTTCTCAGTAAAATATAGCAATGAGTCTTTAAGGTGCCACAACATTTTTGTCATGTTTTTTACTTTCCTTTTGTTTTAACTTGATATGCAAACAATATGTGTCCTAATAGGAACTCTGTTTCTTTAGGCAGGTGAGGTTGTGCTGTGCCAAATATTCATCCAGACTGAGAGACTTGTATTTCTTTTCTATGAAACTGTTTCTGGTCCCCGCACAAAAATACAGAAGGGAATGAAAGACACGAGGCTGGAACCCTGTGCATGTTAACTCCTTTTGAACTCAGTGAGGCTTACAGCTTGGCAAACACACATAGGAGCAGGTTGCAAAGAGAGATCCTGTTTACCAAGGGAGGGGAGATGCAAAACAAGTGTGGAAGAGCAGTTTATCCAAAGCTGCAGCAGTTGGTGGTGGTGGTGCGGAGCATTGGCAAATAAGCAGGTGAGCTTAGTAGAGAAGGGCATGTTGCAGAGGTGGGGTTGGGGAAGATGGATCAGTCCAGGCACCAGCCAGGCATCCTTTTACTGGAGAAGTGGGAGGTGGGATCTGTTGTAATGACTGTATTGTGATATTTATTCAATTTTATTCCCTTCCTCCAATTTATTTTCTGTCTTATTGTGAAAACACCCGTCTCCTGACGTAGAGGGCTTGTTTGCTAAATTCTGCAATAGGGGACGGGAAGTTTGAATGTTGCTGTCAGATAAAACATTGCAAATTAGAAAGGATCTGCATAAATGTACTTGTTTGGCAGTGCTTTGTTCTCTCTGTGCAATTAGAATTGTTCTGTGGAGTCAGGGTAGACGAGAAGGGGTGAATTTGGAAACAAGGTTGGGAGGAGAGGAGGGTGTCCTGAAAATTTTTCTTTTCTTTCTTTGATATATTAGCTGTGTATAGCTCAGAGCAGAAGGGATCCCTCAAATTCCTGATACCATTATCAAACTAATAAGAATCTGAAGGACAAATGCAAATGCCTTCTAGATGTTGTTAAACTGATATTCCCATTATCTCTCACCATGGACTGTACTTGGAGTTCATATATTCCCTGCCCCAGTAGAATTTCCAAGTTTCCAAAGGTTCAGAAATGTGATGGGTGGAGCCTGGAAACTTAAAGCAGTACTGGGAGTGTAGCTTGAAAGGATGGGCCGGAGCCTAGCAGTAGTACCCATGAGAACTGATGGATTGTCAGCCCCTGGCCAGATGAGGGAAGAAACTGATGGACAATTCACCAGAAGAAGAAAGTAACAAAAACTCTTGAATCAAGCAGAATGGAATTTCCCTCTGTTCCTAGCTACCCATCTTAAGATATGGCACTTCTCCCTGCAGCCCCTCAAAAAATGATGAAAGCGGTGCTTTCCTACATGCTTACTTGAGAATGAATGTAAATTATCTTTGTGTGATTTACTTCTGAGTAAACCTGCAAAGCATTGTTCTTGCAAAACATGAAAACAAGATAAAGAATTGGCTACATGGTCTGCTTGAAATCCCCACCCCATAGTGTTTGGAAAAGTGGCTTTGATATATATTTTTTCTGTGTAGATCCCAGTTTTTGCTAGGGATTTTGGTTGATCTGTGCAATTATTCTGGGATAGATCAAAATTAATTAAGTTGGGGGCAAGGAATTTATGCGCTTACACAAAAAACGAAAACCTAGTTGAGTAATCAATTGTTTTCCTGCAGAGGAGGCAGTTAAAATGAGGCTGAACTGATAGTTAATAGAAAACTGCTCCCTTTTAGTAGGAGAACATTCTCTCTGAACCTTCCCTTGTTTTCTAGTTTCTTAACAGTTGGCAGAAATCTCACAGAAGGGCTTTAATTTTTTCTGCAACATGGACCAGACTTTTTAACAAGTTATTTTTTAAAATAAAAACCACAGGGGGAAAAGCTGAGTTTCCCAGGATTGTGAAGATTCTTAACAGGGCTGACCCTGCTGTTAAATAGCAATGTAGAAACCTCAGGCAGCAGATTTGGGCTGTCATGATAGGGTAGCAAATGATTAACTATTTGATTTATCATTATTATATTTTTACTGTGAGGAAAATGAAAACTAGTAAGCAATTTACCATGATTTTTGATGTGGAGTGTACCGTTCCTTGGTCTGCCTCAGGAAACAAAATATCCTGATCTGATCTTCATTTGTAATAATTTATAAGCACACATACATACAGATATAATGAACTGAGAACTCCATTTTCCTAAAAATAAACAGCCACTGTGTCATCGGTGAAAATAGTCACGGAACAGAAATAAAAAGCTGAGAGAACAGCCAAATCCAGCTTTTATTTCCAAACTAAAATGTAGGTCAGTTGTTCTGAGCTTTATTCCTTATGTCTCTTCTTTTCAAGCTAATAATGTGGTTGTCGCAAGGGTCTCCCAGATGCTTTTAAACTATTCCTCAGTGGAAAAACCTTGGGAAAGGTTGGGACCACAGTTCTCAGAATCCTTCAGTCTGCATGGCCATGCTAGCCAAAGTGTTTGAGGAGCTGTAGTCCAAAAAAGTAACTTGCTAAATGATTTAGAATCTTGAGTTAATACTTAACCAACTCACCTGTGTTTCTCTGTCTCTCTCCCTTTGTCTCCCTTCTCTTACAGCCAGCCTTCTTAATGTGATGCTCTGGACATGAAAACAAAGTTTTGACTGAAAGGGGCATCTCTGAGAATTCTCTGGCATCCAGAGGGCAAGAGAGGTGGCCTCTGTAGAAATGGGTAGCCACGAGAAAGATCCGTCTTCTCCAAAAAGGGCACCACCCCCTTCCCGGTCCAACAGCACCGTGTCTTCCAAACACAGCATTGCTCGGCAGGTGTGATTTCTCCCCACAGTGTAATCCCCTAATTAGTCCCCTCATGTCCCTGGGATTTGGACAGGAAGGACAGAGGGGTAGTGCGGTAGCTGGAAGCACCATTTGAAATTAATCAATGGGTATTTCCCGGAGATTGGGTGGGTGGGCCTTTTCTGGACTATAACTCCCAGAATGCTCTAGTTAAGCATGGCCAGCAGCCATGTAGCCTAGGTAATTGTGGGAGTTGTGTCTTAAAATGCAAGCTTTCCTATCTCTGCTGCTTTCCTTTTGATAATCATTTGGGGTTATAGCAGGACACAGATTCATCCAGAGATTACACTTTTGCAAAAGCTTCTTCTCTGTGTTATTGTTGGTTCATTTGGATTTTAGGGCTCAGAAAGCTGGGAGGTGGTGGATGAGCTGCGGATCCAAAGTGGGGGTGTCCAGGAAATGGAGAGGCAGGAGGGCTACCTACTGAAGAAACGAAAATGGCCCCTGAAAGGATGGCATAAGGTGAGAGATCTGGATATGTGAAGCATTGCTGTAGGGTCTGGCTTCCTTTGTGTGGTGGTGCTGATGAGGGTGCTGCCACCTTTGCATGCGTTGGCTTTCTATTGTTCTGAATTGTCCCATCCTTTTCAGCAGGTCTGAATGTCAATCATATGAACCAGTGCATTCATGCAAATGTTGGCCAAACCTGCTGAGCTTTTTGCTCCCCCGGATTTGGGACAGTGAGAGGCATATGGAAAGGGATTCCTAATCAGAGGTGACAGTGGGTTTTCTCAAACCTTCCTCCTATGGTGCTCGATTTCCTTGTTAAAAAAGCCCATGATGTGGCAGGGAAGGAATCTTCACTAGGCACAAACCATGTGGTCTGCAGTATATCTGTTGGAGTACATGTAAACCCCAGCCAAATAACATTTCCCATCTCTACTGTAGTCACCTGGGGGCATTAACTGTCTGTCTGTATTTTTCTCCATTAAAGAAAGTTCACATGGAACAGACTTGGAGGGGAGAAAGAAATCTGTGGAAATGCACTTGATATGTCTGCCTATTTTCATCCACATTCTCATGTCTCTTAAACTCAGTTTGATCCCACTTTTAGACCTCAGTGAGCCATGAAACAGATCAGATGACACTGGGCCAGAAACACTCTCTGGGGGTAATACGTGTCACAGACTTGTGAAAATAAAGCAACAAGTATAATAGACATGTATGAATTAGTTTTATTTACATCCCATCTTCCTCCCAATGAAAGGATTCTTGGCAACTTTCAAAATATTTAAAAGACAAATGCAGCTAAAAAGACAAGAAAATACAATATTAAAAAGTAGTTAAACGTATTGTATTAAAACAGCCAATGGGCAGAATTCTGTTGTGTAGCTTTACACCAGCATTACCCAGACTAGGCTCTGAAAACATTTAATTTAAATTAATAAACAATTTAATCCCCCATTTCTAGGTTCTGAGGCTCCTTAGGGCTCCCATTTGCCTTGGGAAACCCTTGGGATTCAGGGATAAACCTTTAGTAGTTAAAAAAGATCACTGCCAGATTGCTGGCAGCAGTCCTGATCACAGCAGTAGAAATTTGGAAGCCAGTTTTTATTTACTATTAAAAGCTCCCCCCTGCATCTCAAGGCTCCTAAAGGCTTCCTAGGCCAAAAGAGAGCCCTAAGGAACCTCAGAACCTGCAGAGAGGGAACTGGAAACATTTAATTAATTTTAATTACATGCCTCTGGTGCCTGATCCAGGCTACAGCAGTGTTACATTATGCAACTGTATTTTGCCCACTGAGCAATAGAATAGAGTTTAAAATAGATTGAAAATACAGTAGGAAAAAAAGGGGGAGAAGGGTATGGCATTCCCTGTTGAAGCCCCTTCCTTGACAAAGTGTTACAAAGCCTTACACTTGACAAAGTATTACAAAGTCTTTGCAGAGATGGGGACTCAAGTCATGGGATTTGCTGTCAATTCGGACTTAAGTCGCACTGGCAGCTTGATTCAGGTGACTCAGACTCGGGGACAATGATTGAAACCCTGTTGTGCAGTTACATAAAACAACATACTTTTTTGGGAAGTGAATTGCAGAGATGGGGACTCAAGTCATGGGACTTGCTGTCAATTTGGACTTAAGTCACACTGGCAACTTGATTCAGGTGACTCAGACTCAACTTGTGACTCGGAACCCAGCCACTTCCTCTCTTTTTTTCTGGGGGGAAAAGCTTGTTTTTAATAGGGAGTCAGACTTGGGGCTTGGTGCCAAAGACTCAGACTTGGGACTCAGATCCAAAGACTTGCCAACATACAGTGGTGCCTCGTATAGCGAGGTTAATCTGTTCCGGATTAACTTTTGCTATAGTGAAACATCGCTGAACGGATCAGAAAAACCCAAATGGGCCGAAAACTCACCGTTCAGCGATGCTTCCTATGGCCGGCAGCCATTTTCGCGCCCTCATTAAGCGAGGGGAGGGCGCGAAAACGCTGCGCGCGGCCATTTCGGGGCCTCCAGCGGCCATTTTGTCTGCCAAACAGCTGATCGTCGGGGCTTCGTTTTGCGAAGATCGGTAAGCGAAACGCTTGCCGATCTTCGCAAAGCGAGTTTCGCCCTATCTAAAAGTCGTTGAGCGATCGCATTAGCGATCCCAAAAAAGGGATCGCTATGCGATTTCGTCGTTGTACGGTGCGCTCGTTAAGCGAGGCACCACTGTACCTGTTTGCCTGATTGCAGAAGGACAGTCAAAAGGGAACAATTTTGCTTCCCTTGGGAGGAGATGCCTCTGGTTGGGAGCAGCAACCAAAAAGGCCCTCTCGTGACCTCACCAGATACAGTATACTATGGGGATAGTTGGACTAAGAGAAGGGCTCCCTCCGAAGATACCCAGGGAGGTTCAATGAGTCTGAATCTAAATCATTAGGGCTTTCTAGCTTATAAGCAGCACGTTGAATTGTGCCTATAAATAGATTGATAGCTGGTGAAGCTGTTGTCCCTGTAACTAATTGTAGTTTACAGTCTGACTGCAACATCTTGGACCCACTGAAGTTTTTGAATGCCCTCCAAAAGCTGCCCCATGTCAAATTCATTATAAAAATACAAATGGGGTGTAACCTTATAATGTATGCGACTTTTACACTCAGTAGAGGACAGACGGGATAGGAATATAGCTAATTAACTAATGAGTTTGTAACATGCAGGATCCAATTCCCATCCCTCAACCTTTAACACTATTTGGACACTCTTCTTTCATGTTGTAGGATTATGCTAAATTTATGTTATGCTAAACACCGTAAATTATATTGTTATAAGTTATTATGTTCATAATAGCCAGCAGGTCTGAGATTTGGCCAGCCAGCTTTTTTAGGGAATGAGTTCAGGTCCTGCCTGCTCAATTTCATTCAGACCAATTATTTGTGGTTGTTTGTGACTATTTTCTTTCCTTCCTCTGCTTTGTTTCTCTAAGCGTTACTTTGTTTTGGAAGATGGGATCCTGAAGTATGCTACAACACGTCAAGATGTAAGTTTTCTCTGGGGGATACCTGAAATGCAATGTAATAAGACCAGAACATGGGTTGTAGTAAGGCTACCCACCTTCTTGGGACTAGAATTCCCAGACTCCCCTAGCCAGTATAGTAATTAGCTTGGGAAAGTTCCTTTCTCTTTTCATTTCTCTAAGTTGTGATCTAAATAAAGTAGCTTTTCCAAACTGTCAGTGTAGAGTGGCTGAATTTTGCTAAACAGAAATCCAGGAGCTGAAGTAGTCGAAGGAGGACAGTTTAGATGAACAAGAAACACTAATCAAGTAAGACAGAACTAAAAAGGAAAATAAATCTACCATAGTTCTTTCCCCAACGTGAGTCTTGTCTGTGGCTTTTCCCTCCTAGGTCTTGAAGGGGAAGCTGCATGGCTCCATCGATGTCCGTCTGTCAGTCATGTCGGTCAACAAGAAGGCCCAACGTGTGGACCTTGACACAGAAGATAATATTTATCATCTTAAGGTAATTGAAGCAAAACAGAGGCTATTAGGGGGATGGGATAAGATTGAACAAGTAACAAATGGAACTGAAGCAAAACAGAGGCTATTAGGGGGATGAGATAAGATTGAACTAGTAACATAGCCAAATGGAATGTACATTAGAGAGAGAAGAAAGGGGTGATGGTGGGAAAATAATGGTAATTGGAGTCATGAGTTTGAAGGCCAACCTGTCATTTATCTATGGATATGTTACTGACACTAGAGCTGTGTTAGCCCAGTCTGGGAAATAGGAGAACAGTTATGGTGCAAACGTGGATGACATGTGCAATAAAGCTATCAATGGCTGCTAGTTATGATGGCTCTATATTCCCTCTGATATTGACAGCAGGGAGTTCATATATATATGCCCAAAGGTGAAATTGTATCTAGTTGGCCATTATGAGAACAGCACACTGGACCAGATAGGCCAGTGGTGTGACCCAGTATGGCTACCCTTATGGCCATTCTTATGATGAGATGAAGGTCCCAATCTGACATATGATATCCAAAAGCAAATTTGCACTTGGATGCTTGCTGTTCTGGTTATGCAGATTGCTGAGCATAAGAAACAAGGCAGTGGTTTGGACTGCACATGTAACGTTCTGGATTAGAATAAGATCCTGTTTATTAGCTGGCTAGACTCTGATCCAGTTTTGTTCCTTTGAATCCCAGCTGACCAACAAGCAGCAGGAAACATTCACAGGGCAAGGGTTTATATGAGCATGTGTCCTCCAGCCTATGTTGTTTGCATCCATTGCCATAAACAATATTTTGATTTCAGCACATGTTTTCCTGGCACTTCCCAAAGAAAATGATAAATTGAATTTCATACATGCTGTTATGTGTCAGTGTCTTCAAGTGACAGACAGGCTTGTTAAAGTGTGCAAGTCCTCACTTACAGGCTTTTGTTGTGTGTTTTTTTTCCTGCTTCTACCCAGAGCCTGATAATTTTGTAAGGAAGCACTGAACTCAGTGGCCTTGGGCTTTTTCTGTTCTAGATAAAATCTCAAGAACTTTTCAATAATTGGGTAGCAAAGCTGTGTGCACACCGCCAAGCAGAGAGGTTTCCAACTGGAGGCCAAGGTGGGAGGGCTTCCCATCCTGCACAGGTGAGTCAGAAGGAATTTCTTTGTACCATAAAAGTTGTGTGAGGTTATATTATTACTATCTATTTATCAGTTACAAGTGTATGCTGTCTTTAAGGCTACACATTTGGCTATCATCCTTCCTTACTCCTTTCACAAAACAACCCTGTGAGGGTGGGTCAGGCTGAGAGAAAGTGATGACCCAAGAGAACACACTGAGTTTTGTCGCCAAGCAATAATTAGAACCCACGTCTTCTGAATCTCAGTCCAACATTGTACCCCAGAGGTGGATTCACATAGCTGTTCCTGAGATCCTCAGACTTCCCTGTCTTCCTTTCTGTTTCCTAGCAAAAAAAGGTGAATTGCAGCTCCTGGAAACCTTTAAAAATGAAAATTAACCCTTTTAAATAGGTCGCAGGTGTCCCTGTACTATTTAATACCTCAGTGTGAGAGTTTTTTGAAACTGGAAGTGAATACCCCTCAATTTCTCGTTTCATTTTTTGCATTTAAGTAGCATTTACATGGCCTGTGTAGACCTAGGATAGTCCTAATACATTTTTTAAAAATATTGTTTTAGAATAATGTGTGTTGCCCCCCCTTTGATTTTTTTTAAATTTTGTAGCGAGAAAAAAATCTGTTCCGGCTGGGAGTTCATGACTTGTCCTTTATGACAAGGGAGCTCCCTTGGCGGCTCTTGTGGAGGTAGGCATGTCCCTCCAGGATCTCCATGGTATTTGATGTCTACAAAAGACTTTTCTGAGACTTCCAAGATGTGCTGGCATTCCCTTGAAAGATTGGAGAGGCCCCTCCAGTAGCCTTGAAAGTGAATTGAACTCCTAGAATCCTTTGCTCAAAACTTCCATTCTTTCTATACCATCTTGCCTCATTTTGCAGGCCTGTGGATCACGGCACCGTATTCTGACGTCAGAAAGTGCCCCCGCCTTGTCTTACCTTGGCAGTCACCGAGACAAGGTGAACTCATGGCTGAGTGACAGCAAAAGCTTGGACAGGTGCTCAGCAGGTGAGAGGATATCTTTTTACTACCCATCTAGAAGCACTTTCCTATCTGCCTGCCAAGCCAGTTCCCTCCCCTCCTCCAGTCCTCTGTTCCAGACCTGCTAGCTTCATTCACCACAGTGGCAGCCTCTACTGTTCTGAATTGTCTCGTTTATCTCTGAATCTGTTATTCCTCCTGTACTTTATAAAGTGATGAGACAAGTTGCAGCCGGTTAGTTTGAAGGCTGTTTCCTGGCTGGGGAAAGTCATCTAGTAGAGGTGAGTGCAGCTGTTAAATGTGTCGTGGATGGGATGCACCAGTTGTCATTTGCAGGCCAGCTTTCACAGGCAAAGCAAGAGAGTCCATGTTTACAGGTTTGGACCATGATCCTCTGCTTTTGTTATGTATGTATGCCAATGTGCCCATCTATTCTGACAGAACAGATGGCAGGAAAACTGATGTTCATGCCTTCTCCACTCAGGTCTTGGTGAGCCTGACAACAAATCAGCTCTGAATGAGAGTCTGGTCAAAACTGGATCCAGATGTTTGGGAGTACAGGTCATCCATCTTTCTCATGCCTATCCTCAGGGTACTTTGTTTTATCTTCCAGATCCCTGGAAGCAGTTGCAGATCTTAGAAATAACACCATCAAGAACTACAAAAATGGCAATATTAGGAAGAGCATACATACTGCGCTGATATTTAACAGATACTTAGTAGGGTTTTGGTTAAAACGTGTACCTGATATATAATACCAATCAATGTTTTTATACATTTGACTGTGCCTGGTGTTTTTGAATAATAATACATTGCAGTTCCAGGGAATGCCAGAGTTAAAAATAAAGAATTGGAAAAACTAACGAAGTACAGAGACCTGGCAATCGAAATATCTCGCCTCTGTAAGAAACACAGTTCAGTGGTCCTCGTAGTCATTGGGGCTTTGGGAACAATATCAAGAAACTTCACACAGTACTATAAGCAGTTGCAGATCTCAGAAATCACATTATCAGAGCTACAAAAAACGGCAGTATTAGGAACTGCATACATACTGTGTTGATATTTAGCAGATACTTAGGTTCTTGGTTAAAACTTTTATCTGTTATTTACCAGTCAATGTTTTTATAATGTTGACTGTGCTTGGTGTTTCATTATCATTATTATTATTATCATCATAGAGAAATTCCACACAATATTATAAGCAGTTGCAGGTTTCAGAAATAATGCCATAAGAGCTACAAAAAATAACAATATTAGGAACAGCATACTAATACACACTACATCTAGCATATATACTAAACCTAACAGATAATTAGGTTTTTGTTTAAAATTTGTTATATACGTAATACCAATCAGTGTTTTTATATTTTTGATTATGCCTGTTATTTTTGAACGATAATAATAATACTAGCCATTAATTTAATTCTGACTTAGGGTGACCCTTTTCAAAGTTTTCTAGGTAGAGGGTACTTAGAAATTATATGCCCTTCTTCTGGGGTCATCCTGGGACTGTGCGTTTGTCCAAGGCAATGCATAGTGGGAAACTGAACTCCCAACCTCTGGCCACGCAACCAGATATCTGACTTAGCAAACAGGAAGTCCTGCCTCCTGATTTCCTGTTCTTTTCCTGTTTTTTTTTTTGATGTTAAGTGTGAGATGATTTTCTTTACACCAAAGTATCAACCTTTGTACTTCCTTTCTATAAGCAGACTCATTGTTCTTATTTATGAGCCCCACCACTGTCGTATCATCCGCAAATTTAATAATTGCATTGGTGTTATACAGTGGGGTGCAATCATGTGTGTACAGGGAATAGAGGAAGGGACTTAGCACGCAGCCCTGGGGAGCTCCTGTACTTAGTACCAGGGTAGAAGAATGGTGAGATCCCATCCTTACTGACTGTGGCCTATCTGTCAGAAAATCCTTTATCCACATGCATATCTCCTGAGGTAATCCCAGGTTGATCATTTTAAAAAACAACCTATTTGGTAGAATGGTATTAAAAGCAGAGCTATAATCCACAAACAACAGCCTCGCATAAGTAATAATACCATCAAGAACTACAAAAATGGCAATATTAGGAAGAGCATACATACTGTGCTGATATTTAACAGATACTTAGGTTTTTGGTTAAAACTTGTATCTGTTATATAATAACAGTCAGTGTTTTTATAGTTTTGATTGACTGTGCCTGTTATTTTTGAATAATAAATAAATAAAAACATACATACATGCATTGCAGTTCCAGGGAATGCCAGAGTTAAAAATAAAGAATTGGAAAAACTAACGAAGTACAGAGACCTGGCAATCGAAATATCTCGCCTCTGTAAGAAACACAGTTCAGTGGTCCTCGTAGTCATTGGGGCTTTGGGAACAATATCAAGAAACTTCACACAGTACTATAAGCAGTTGCAGATCTCAGAAATCACATTATCAGAGCTACAAAAAACGGCAGTATTAGGAACTGCATACATACTGTGTTGATATTTAGCAGATACTTAGGTTCTTGGTTAAAACTTTTATCTGTTATTTACCAGTCAATGTTTTTATAATGTTGACTGTGCTTGGTGTTTCATTATCATTATTATTATTATCATCATAGAGAAATTCCACACAATATTATAAGCAGTTGCAGGTTTCAGAAATAATGCCATAAGAGCTACAAAAAATAAAAGCAGTTGCAGATTTCAGAAATAATGTCATAAGAGCTACAAAAAATAGCAATATTAGGAACAGCATACTAATACACACTACATCTAGCATATATACTAAACCTAACAGATAATTAGGTTTTTGTTTAAAATTTGTTATATACGTAATACCAATCAGTGTTTTTATATTTTTGATTATGCCTGTTATTTTTGAACGATAATAATAATACTAGCCATTAATTTAATTTTGACTTAGGGTGACCCTTTTCAAAGTTTTTTGGGTAGAGGGTACTTAGAAATTATATGCCCTCCTTCTGGGGTCATCCTGGGACTGTGCGTTTGTCCAAGGCAATGCATAGTGGGAAACTGAACTCCCAACCTCTGGCCACGCAACCAGATATCTGACTTAGCAAACAGGAAGTCCTGCCTCCTGACTTCCTGTTGTTTTCCTGTTTTGTTTAGCTGTAGAATCACCCCCTGGTGTGCAACATTTCTCTGCCTCTTTCCATGTGACATTTGGTTTTCTTTCCCCACCCAGAGCTCACAGAATGTCAGGGAAAGCTTCAAGAGCTCAACCACATGCTACAGAGTTTGGAATCTCTGCACCGTATTCCTTCTGCCCCCCTCATCTCCAATAGTCAGGTAGGTACAGTGGTGGGGCAGCAACATTCTCTCTGCATGAAAACTCCTGAACATTGTTATGGTCACCAATGCCATGGATGCTTCAGTAACACATATTCTTCTGTCCACATGGTTAAGATAAATTTGCATGGCCAACTACCACTTCTACAACAATTGCAAACTCAAAGTGTACAGGAATTTGTGGTTTCACTTGCAATAAACGTTAACTAATATTTTTTTTCTTGGTTTTGCAGACCTCAACAAGCACTGAGAGGCCTAGAAAGGGGAAAAGATCCACCCGAATCTGGTGTACGCAGAGTTTTGCAAAGGATGACACTATTGGCAGGGTAAGTTGATTTGGTCTACGTGGTGATGTAGAGAGGGTATGTATTTGAAAATAACTGCTTACAAATACTTGGCTGCTTCTGACTCCTTTTTTCCAATAACTATCTTCATGTGAGAGAACTTCAATCCTGTAGTATGACTACATTGCGTAGTTACTTTTATAGCTACAGGAATTTGACCTTACTAAATGGTGGAAGAGGAATATTACTTGATGTGAGCACTGTCTGGTGCTATACATTGTGCAGCTGCATTCAAATCTTTCTTGAGTGACTAAAAGTAACAGTTCAAATTATTTATGACCAATACAGAGAGTTACTTTTAAAGGTACTAGTTGTAATGGTAACTCACTACTTAGCAGTGAGGCTTCGGGCTGTAGTTACAAATAACTACTTTAAAAATAACTTTGCATATTAAATTCCATCTGCTGTTTTATTTTATTTTACTGTATTATATTTTAATTTAGCTTATGGTGTGTATACTGTTACTTTATTATTAATTTGTGCACTTCACAAAATTGAGATCCAAAAAGATGAGACTTTATTCCGTTTACTAGCTCAGCACATACTGAAATTAGATATGTAATATACAGCATCACATTATCTAGAACTGAAATATATTGTAGCACCTTACCTTACAGTGAGACCAGTAGATCAAGTGTAGGTAACACACACACAGCGCAGGGGCCCAAATGGGAACTCACAGCTGGAGCCCCTCAGTACTTTTCACCATAAACATTTTTGTTGTTCTTGTATTTTGAGAGCTTCTCATTCCCTCCACCCCACCCCAATTTTTTTTTCTGTTTGAATTATATTTTGGCCAACGAGTGATGCAAGGTTTTTTCAATTTTTTTTAAAAAAAAATGAAAATAAAAGAGTCTGGAAATGGGTGTTGTATGTATGGTGCTCAAAGGTTCAGGAATGGGTATTTGTAATCCTTGGATCTCTGGAGCTTGCCTGCCCTGCAATAGGACATATGATTGCTCAGCACTAGGAATCTTATTATGCCCATAAAATGGCTTTTTGGCTTGGTTTGGCTTGCCTTGGTTTTGTAAGTAACTTTCCAGTCTATACACGAACTTCCCAGTGGCCGCTTTTGTGCTGTTAGAGAGGTGGGCACTGAGCACTGGAAGCTTTGCCTGATATCCTGTGAGTTCCATCATAAGGAAAGGGGCAGAGGAATGCTGCACCTGAGTGGCTGATTTTTGCCTCTGAGGCAGAAGAGAGGGACACTTTATGTAAGGTGGATTTTGGTGAGGGGAAATGTATGATTTGGAAGTTGTTCTGTTGGATGTCTAAACTCAAGTGCTTTCTCCTAGCAGGTGGGGCGGCTACATGGCTCTGTGCCCAACCTTTCAAGATACCTGGAATCCTGTCAGAATCCAGCCATCTTCAGCCTCCCTCCAGAATATAGCCAGCTGCAGCGAAGTTTCTGGATCTTGGCTCAGAAAGGTGTGCTTGTACCCGACATTCATTGACTGTTAGCCCTGCAGCACCTAGAGACTTAGTATAGTTGATCTAGATTGTATTGAATTGGAAATACCAACTCCTGCCTTGGCCAGATAGAAGAAAAGATTGGAATGTAGGTTTGTTCTGCCAACTTCCAGTTCTGTTTCTTTGTTTTCTGATGTTTCCCTCATTTCCAGAGCCATGCGCCCACTGTGCTCTGACAGATCACATTATTGTGACTAAGCCACCCAGATCCTGTATTGAGGAACACTGGATCTTTTGACTTGCATAACTGCGGAAACCTACTTGGTTTGCTTTTGTGGGACAAGGAGAGTGTGTAGGCGAAAGAATGGTCTAACACCAAGGGAGGCCCGGAAAGAAAGAATAAGAAACCAGGCCTTCTTGGCAGTTGCCCCTCGCCTTTGGAACAGTATGCCCTCAGAGATCTGTCTGGCTCCCTCGCTGGGTGTTTTTAAGAGCTGCCTTAAGACCTGGCTCTTTAGGCAGGCTTTCCCTCCTGTCATCACTTGATTATTTTTATTTTTTCCCCATCTTGAATCATATTACTATTGTTGCTCTTTATTTTATTATACTGTTTTTATTCTATTTTTATTGTTAGCTCCCAGAGTAGACTTGTTTCTAGATGGGCGGGGTATAAATTTAATAAATAAATAAATGGGCATCAGTATGCCCTTGCCCCTTCCTGACCCCCAGTACCCCAATGGAAAAAAAGTTTGGCAGAAACCTGTCTTTACACACACAGAGGCCTCAAATAAGGTGCATTCCCTTCTCCTCCGTGCCTTGTTTGATCCCCCCAGATTACAAAAACCAAAACCAGAAGTTGATGTCTAGCTAATTCTAGTTATGATTTTTTCCATTTTTGGCAAAAAAAAATCTGTCCTAGTTTGCCCTGCATCAAGACTTGGAGTAGAAATTTGGCACCCAGAACTAGCCCAACTCATTGTACACGGAATCATTGGTCAGTGCAGTCCTCTTGGTTTGTTGAAAATTGTGTGTATGCATATTATTTATCTGGTCATGATCTTCTTAATGGCTCAAAAAGTGGGCTTCTTTGTTTAACATGAAAGCTAATGTGACAAGTAGAGGTGTGCAGGTTTGTGTTTTGGGACAACAACTCCCAGAATTTAGCAGGCCATGCTGCCTGGGGAATTCTGGAAACTGTCATTTGAAAATGCAGATTTCCACACTGCTGGGTCTAAGTATTGTGGAGTCTTTATCCAATATTGAGGTGCCCCCAATCAAGGACTGTATGGCTCAATTGTACTGTATTTCTCACTTCGGTAGTTCACGGATCCCTCAGCAGTGTGCTGTCTGTGCTGACGGCAGAGCGAGATCGTCTTCAGGAACTGCAACGGACGCTCAGTCTACAGCGATCCACTGCACCTTCAGCGCCAACTGTCCGTCTGGGTTGCTTTGGAAATGCAGCAGCTGCGGTAAGGGGCCACAGTCCTCTTGACAATGCTTCCAATTACTGGTTTAAAGGCTTTGAGTAAAAGCTTCAAGCATATTAGGGGTCTTGAAACATGGGAGTAAACTGAAAAAACAAGAGGTCCTTGGAGTAACTGGTACAATGTAAACTCAACCAAATTCTACAACTGGTGCAATGTAAACTCAACCAAGCCACATGCATGAGTCTGGCTGACTGAATTAAGTGTTCAAAGGTTAAATTGTGTGTATATCTGGTTGCCTGAAGCTCTTCCAATTTAGAAGCAAGTAATGATTTACATGTCATGTAATTACGTGTAATTGGTTACTTTTGGGGTTAATGGACATAATGAAGTTACATTTCAAAAGCAATGTAATAATGTAATAAGAAGGTTCAAAATTACCTCACAGATGTAATGAGTAATGTTTTCTAGTTGCTTTTAAAATGCATCCTATGGCATGTTAAAGTAATTTTTAGAGGAATTATGCAAGTTTTGTGCTACACTATTATTGATCCCGTGTGGCATGAGAAGTATTATTTTGTACTGTCTTTTCTTTTTTAAGTGTTTTCAAGGTGCAGTATCAGAGTTTAGTGGGGAACCAATGAATATGTTGTTTTATTTTTCTTGTGTGTTGATACTGTGAGTAAACTGGATTACAATGTTAAGGGAGGTAAGATAAAGAGTAATGGTAATCTCAACATCATGAGTAAAAAATGAGTTCCTTTATAAAAATTTTTTAACTCTTCTGCTTAGATGGCCTTTTCCTTGTCTACATCCTGTACCTTTCCCTCTGTTTCCAGGCTTCTCTACAGACACTGGACAATCCTGAAGGTATACGTCGTTTCCACTCCCTCTCCATCTCTTCAGACACCACCCTGGACTCCTTTGCCTCATTTAACCCTGATGAGGTAACCCAAATTCTTTTGGGGTATAGAAGGAGAGAGGTCTTTGGGCTTTGCTTTTAACCCCTATGGTGCTGCATGGCTTTGTGTTATTTAAGTTATTGTTTCTGGTTCCTGAAAGCCATTTTGATAGGATTAAAAAAAGTTAAAACAGTGATGCTATTTAACTGGCTGGCCCAATAGTGAGTGGGGAGATTTTTCTTCTCTGTTTCTTATAAGGCCAGAACCTTGAGTCACCCAGTGAGGCTGAAGGGTTGGAAATCCAAACAGCAAAAGTGCTTCTTCACCCAGCACATATTCAGATCATTATATTTAGATGATGTTACATTGACTTGGACAGTTTTAGAAGGAGATCCAACTAATTCATAGACAATCAGTGAAGGGAATCATCATTCGATGGATCTCAGTGTACTTTAGTGTGGTTTAATTAATCCCAAGGCACTTTAAAGAAAATGTCTTCTTAGTGGTGCATTACTTTATATGTTTGGTATCCTTGGCTTTTTATGGGACCATAAAAGACTGTTGCACATTTGGTTTCTTTTCTTTTTTTCCCCCTTTCTGGGCCTTGCAGCCAGATTCTCTGTTGGTCAAGGGTCAGGAGCAGCAGCTGTCCAATCGCAGTATCGTGTCTCTCTCGGATTCACACACAGAGTTCTTTGATGCCTGTGAGGTTTTCCTGTCGGCCAGCTCATCTGAGAATGAGGTTAGTTGACATGGTCGTTGAATGGCTTGGAAAGGGAAAGTCTTTCTGAAAAGTTTAGTTTCTTGCTCCGTGTTTGGGTGCTTTTCCTCAGAGATTATAAACATTACTTTTGTGGTCTGCAACACTCAAAATGTCCCATCTAACATGGTTGCTGAAAATGGGATTCTGAAGATATATTCCAGAACAAGCACTCTCCTCTCTTGGGAGGCTGAGCCCTTCCTAAATTCTGGACCATATTGTGAGCCACTTTTGACCTTAATTATGACAAAGTGGCATATAAATAAACTTGGTGATGAAGCCAGAACGAATGGTCATAACCCAGTATTATTTCTGGCAGATCCTACAGGTGGAAAAATGGCCGACGATGATGCTTTGCTTTGCAACTAGAAGAATAATTAACCCTACTCTAATTATTTATATGTCCACATCTACAGAAACTCTGGTTAGGAGCTTGGATAGGTTTTGTGTGAGGCAAAATTAGCTGATGAATTAACTATAAAGTACTTCTTATTAAAGTCACCACTTGTCTGAGTTTATATTTTAGCTTGTAAAATTGCTGAAAAAAAGTAATTTGTTACAGATCTATGACCTCCTTAATGTAAATAATTACTATTAGAGATGGGCACAAACCACTGGTTCATAATGGTTCATTCTTTGGACATGCAGGTGCTCTGGCTTCCCTGCCACACCACCTCCAGTGGGTGCCCACTCAGAGGAAGAAGCGACACAGGGAAGCCCAGGATACTGCTTCTGAGTGGGCACCTACTGGAGGAGGTCGGAGAAGAAAGCCAGGGTGCCTGTCTGGACCATATTGTGAGCCACTTTTGACCTTAATTATGACAAAGTGGCATATAAATAAACTTGGTGATGAAGCCAGAACGAATGGTCATAACCCAGTATTATTTCTGGCAGATCCTACAGGTGGAAAAATGGCCGACGATGATGCTTTGCTTTGCAACTAGAAGAATAATTAACCCTACTCTAATTATTTATATGTCCACATCTACAGAAACTCTGGTTAGGAGCTTGGATAGGTTTTGTGTGAGGCAAAATTAGCTGATGAATTAACTATAAAGTACTTCTTATTAAAGTCACCACTTGTCTGAGTTTATATTTTAGCTTGTAAAATTGCTGAAAAAAAGTAATTTGTTACAGATCTATGACCTCCTTAATGTAAATAATTACTATTAGAGATGGGCACAAACCACTGGTTCATAATGGTTCATTCTTTGGACATGCAGGTGCTCTGGCTTCCCTGCCACACCACCTCCAGTGGGTGCCCACTCAGAGGAAGAAGCGACACAGGGAAGCCCAGGATACTGCTTCTGAGTGGGCACCTACTGGAGGAGGTCGGAGAAGAAAGCCAGGGTGCCTGCAGAACACCTGTGCATCTGAAGAATGAACCATTGCGAACTGCCGAACTGGCAATTCATGCCCATCCTTAGTTACAATTATAAGGTCATTTGAGTTACTATTCACAAGTAACAAAAATAGTTAGCTTTCATTAATTTTGGATATTAGAATGCCGCAAGTTACTGCCTGTGGTACAAAATATACCTAAATAGTGAGACTACCCATACACGGTCACTGTGAACATATCCAAAATAGTTAGTTACGTGGCAAAAATGTGTAACATAGTCTCTTGCTAAGTTACATTTATAATTTATATGTAACATCATTATGTTTTAGTTATTTGAGAAAGAAATTAGTTATAGTTAGCATTATTTGTTACTATTACTTCCATGCTATGAAATATAAATGCATAACCTGGTTATATTATGACTGTAGGATTGTTTAATAAGCCTCAGCAATGATAAATACTTGAGATTAGATGTAATTTAGGATTGAAGACTGTAATGGTAGAGTACAGTATCTCTCCTCCACTGTGTAAAGTATGTTGTTGGGATTTTTAAAACATAATTTTGTTTGTTTTTGTTATTTCATCACCATTCTCTTTCTTTCTTTTTCTTTTTTCATCCTTTGTGAATTAGCCAGCAGCAGCACCACTTCCCCCTGCCTAACTACAGCTGACCCTCTTCCCCTTCCTCAAATGGCCTGATCCTCCCCACTTCCCATATTACAATAACTCAAATCTTTCGTCCCCACCCCCCTTCTGCTTACTGTTACATTTGGAAAGTGCAGATGTAGCAGAACCTATATTGGCTTAAGTCATTTCTTCTCTTTCTGCTCTGCCAAGTTATTTCTTTTTGGGGGCATGATTCTGAATGCCTGTTTCAAAGTGAAAAGTCCTGGTGCAGTGAATCTCACAATTTGGGGGGGGGATGTGGCTCTTCTTATGAGTCTCAAGACCAACTAAGGAGGAGCCATTTCCTCTTGCTGATTCTTCTGTTTGAAAACTTCAGATCTTTGTTTCTGCTTTCTTTTCATCTCAGAGATCTCCACATTCCAATTCTCTGACTAATCCTGTGAAATCTTTCCCTGTTCTTTTTTCTCCCTCTCTTCCATTCATCCATCCTAACATTTCCTCTTGTCCCAGTCCTCCATTTTGTCTCTTGGTCAACAGTCTCCTCAGTAGCTTCACTCCCTTTCTTTTAGAGTTCTATTGGAAAGGAGAATAGAGTGTGTTGACAGTAGTCTTACGTTAGTACTGGCCAGAGCTAAGGTTGATGTCAGCCATGATTGGAAACCAATTTTTTAACATCTTTGAGGGAGTTTTTGCAAAATAGATCCATAGGATGCCCAGCTTGTTCCTGCCCATCACTCCCACACTAGAAAGCTGTGCTGAATTTCATTCCCTTGCCTAGAGGCTTTGTCCCGCTTCAAGTTCCCTTCACTCCAATGAAGCTATTTCCTTATCCCTCTATTTTTCCTCTTTCCGGGGCAAATCCACCATGTCCCTTGGCCTGTGTAACTTCCTGTTGCTCCTCCAGGCTACGGATGATGAATCCTGCATCAGCGAGGTGACAAATAGCATCTCCGAGGAGACAATGACAGATACGGCAGGAAGACCTGGGCAGTTCCACAAAGGTATTTGGACCACAAAATAGAGGAGCTCAAGAATTATGGGCTGGGTTAGAGGGAATATATCCTTTTAAAAACGTTCCAGTATAGTGGCTACATGCACATTGGACTTGTGTGTGTGTATACACACACACACAAGTTGTAAACAGCATCCCCAGTTTCACTCTCCTGCCATGTTCTATGTTTTTATATCAACAAAACAATAGGAGACCTGAGATAGAAAGTGTTCCAAACACAAGAAGTTAATGTTTTATTTTATGTTACCTGCTTTTATTCTACTTTGGTTATTTATTTTTTAAAAATATTTATACCCCACCTTTCTCATCAAGAGGACCCAAGATGTACACTGTTAAAACAATATTTTATTCCGCTTTTATTCTACTTTGGTTATTTATTTTTAAAAAAATATTTATACCCCCCCCCTTTCTCGTCCACAGGACCCAAGATTTACACTGTTAAAACAATATTTTATTGTGTTCTCTGGCTCTGAGTGTTTGGGTGGACCGCCGTGCTTGATTCTACAAATTCAGACACTCCTTGGGACCTTTAGCATTTTAATACTTTGTGATTCTTTGGAATTCTGGATTAAAAGATACCCATAGCTTACATAATGCAGATTTTTTTTAAAGTCCTCATTCATGAGGGTTAATATAAAATAACCAAATATGAGAGTTAGAAAAGAGATGAACTGGTTCGGAACAGAGACAAGATCAAAGAATTAGAATCATAAAAATTAGAAGAGCCTTCTAAAATGGTCTAGTCTAACCTCTTCATATTGCAACATGTCCCAAAGCATTCTTGGTAGGTAGCTGCTATCCCATAACAAACAACAGGCTTGTGGAATTCACTGCCACAGATGGTGGGAGTCTGAACCAAAAAATGGCTGAAGCAAAACACAGTGTCTCACTGACTGCTAGCCAATAAATCTAAGATGGAAGATGTCGTTAGACTCCTATAGCTGCCCACACCTCAGAATCAGAATACAGAGTCAAAGATTTGAACTGTTTCAAGAGACCTCTTTGTACCTTTTCATTTATTGATAATATTTATATCCTGCTATACAGGACAGAGTCTCAGGGCTGTTTACTCATCAAAAGAAAAGAAAAAGGCAGACACTGCCCATAGGCTGCCCCACCAGTAGAAGGGGTTGGGGAGGGAATAAAACTAAAAAAGCAAATTGCGCCCCTAGAAGCACTGGTTGTGTGCGTGCGATTTGTCATCTTTGCGGAATTTCTGGCTTTTCAGTTTAAGATTATTCTGTAAATGAGAACCTTAGGGACTCTGTTCCAGAGCTCAGAAACATTAGAGCTAATTAAATCATTAAACAAAATTATCTGATTAATATTAAAATGTTAAGAGAAAAATTATAAAAGAAAGCTGCTGATTAATTTGTTAATTAATTTCTTCCTGGTTAAAATTTAAAAACCCATTTAAATTACAAACAGTGGCTGCTGTCTCCCAGATCATCCTCCCAAAAGAGACTGGAATTGAAGTAATATTAACCATTACTCAGAAATAACAGCTATGGTGTTTATCAATGTAGATGATGAATTTATTTTTTTAAAAAAATCAAGTTGGAGTAACAAGCTACTTTCTGACAAATAGCTTCCAAGCTCTGAACCTAACAGTGGTTGCTTGTATACTGCCCAATAGACTCAACTGCTTTTGGGGACTCCTCGGAGATGAGCTTCAGCCTGCCGGTGCCTCTTCCTCTGTACCTCCCTGCGCTGGGGCCTGGGATAACACGTCGAAACTGCCTGCCAGCCTCTCATTCCCACTCCAGTGATGTCAGCGTCTGGAACATTCTTCGCAACAATATCGGCAAGGATCTTTCCAAAGTCTCAATGCCAGTTCAGCTGAACGAGCCCCTCAACACACTGCAGCGCCTTTGTGAGGAGCTGGAGTACAGCGCTCTGCTGGATGCAGCCAGCCACAACCCGGACCCCTGTGAAAGACTGGTATCTCCCTTTCCCTCTCCTTCCTTACATCATGATTCTCCCTCAGGAATGGGAGTTGTAGTGGAAATATAAGAAACTCTTCCCTATAAAGCTGTTGGCAGAACAAGCACTACCATTAGACAGAGTGAGGTGACTCCTTCAGGTGGCAGATGCTGAGGGACAGCAGGGGCAACAGTTTGTCTCTTCTTACGGACTCCTTGTAGGAACTCTATGTTCCAATTTGTTGGTGAACAAAGCAGTGTGTGTCATGGACCCTCTCTCGAGACTCTTACCCTGCTGTCTCAAGTATGATGGAAAATGCTGTCCCATTATGAGTGTTGACATAAGATTAGTTTAGCAGTCTGGTCAGATAACTAATGGGTTGGTTAGGCAGTGCCATCTTTTCTTTTGCCTCAAGTTGCAAAATGTCTTGACCTGCCTCTTGGTCACAAACTCTTCATTTAAAAAGGAAGCCACATTTTGTTTGACTGGCTCTTCATCAAGACATTGGAGCCTGCTTTCTCTCTTTTCTCCAGAACTCAGTCCTTAAGTTTGTGTGGAATATGAAATAAGGACATGATAAAAAGAGGCACCCTGAACATATGCAGAATACCTTTCCTTATTGGCTTGTATGTCACAGAGCCATTAACTGTGCTGGCTAAGATTTCTGGGAATTGCAGTCCATGAACATCTGGGGAGCCAAGGTTGGGAACCACTGCTCTAGCGATTGTACGGTTGACAGCTGGTAGAGTGCCTACATCTTATAGACTGTTGCCCTTACATGCATGGTTTTCCATAATAGAATTTTTTTTGTTTCAGGAAAGCCAAGCACTACTATGCTGAACCAAAATAACTTCCCAATTAGTTTGGGAGAGTCTCTCCATAGCAGCCCTCTTTATATTTTCCTTTGTCATCCTTTCTGCAGATCTGTATCGCTGCCTTTGCTGTCTCTGCCTATGCTTCTACCTACTACCGTGCTGGCAGCAAGCCATTCAACCCTGTGCTGGGAGAAACGTATGAATGTGTGAGGCCAGACAAAGGTTTTCGTTTTATAAGTGAGCAGGTAAGGACCTGACAAATATGGTGGCTAGCAAGATGTTCCAGAAAGAGATGAATATTTGACAGCTGTCTTCAGACATTTCAAAAGATGTCATATGCAAGAGGTTGGTAGTGCCTGTTCTCTGTCACTCCAAAGAAGGTGTCAAAGGTTGTGTATGTGTCAGGGATGCTGTAAGGAGCAGTGGGTTGGAGGACATGTTCTCTGAGGTCTCTTCCAAGTCTAAAATTCTGTGATTCTGTGGCCAGGATCCTGTTGGTGAGTTACATCAGCAAAAATGCAAAAGTGTAAAACTATAGCTACAAATTGTCATTAGTTTATAACCTGCTGATACACCACATTGTGCATCAACTCACACAATTGGAGTGTAACAAAGGATACAATCAGCGATTCATTAACTAGCAGTGATTTGCCATTGTAGTTTATGCCACTGCAGTTATGCTAGTGTAGCTGATAAATTAATTTTTGTCTATGTATCTGCCAGAAGACGTGGCAGAATTTGCTTAAAATTTACTTGCTGGTTACATCTCTATTCTGCCTTTTTGGTAGTGGAGCTCAAAGTGGTGAGTGTATAAAATCATAGCAAATGCTTATTACATGTTTATCCTGCCCTTATATCTTTAGCTAAGAGCTCTAAGTAGAGATGGGCGGTTCATGTCCATCTCTATTTATGGTTTGTTTCCCAGACAAACATCCGATCCACACTTTGGTGCCTTGCCCCCTTCAGCAGGTGCTTCCTTGGCAGCACCACTGGATGGGGTGGGGGACTGACCAACTATTTGGCCTGGAAACAAACCATGCCAAACTTCTGAACCAGCAGTTCATGCCCCTCTCTAGCTCTAAGTATCGTACATCTGTGTCCAAGGTTTCCAGACTCTGAATGCTATACATGGGTGAAAAGTGAAGTTGTTATTTCAAAAACTGTGCCATCCTCACCAAGCTGGTGGCTTATGTCTTCCTTTTGCCTTCTAAAATTGCAGGTCTGCCACCATCCTCCCATCTCTGCCTGCCACGCAGAGTCTGACAACTTTGTTTTCTGGCAAGGTGAGGCTTCAAGGTAAAAACAGAAGCGTGACTGCTAGACAGAGGCGTTGAGTGGGGAGAGGAAGGGCCTGGAAGTCGTCTGGGGGAACAGCTTGTGTTTTGACTCTTGGGTTGAAAAGGTCCTTCCAGATAGTTGCCACAGTCCATTTGCAGAATCAGTTCAGGGCTTTCACCTCCTCATCATGGAATAGGTTTTTTGACCATGTGCAGAATGTTCTTTTCTTTAGCCCCATATGACTGAGATATGCCCCTATACAGTATATCTTTAAAGAAGAGTGGGAGAAACAGAGTTTCTAGGTCACAGCATCAGTTTTATTTCCTTTAAAAGAAAGTAACAGCTTTGTAGAATTCTGCTTTTGGCGTAAGACAGGCAGCTTTCTGGCTCTCTGGATGTTGTTGAACTAAAACTTCCATCACCCAAAGTCAGCACAAACAATGGTGGGCCACACAGTATGCTGCCCTCACCCCTTGAGCACCCGACTTTCACCCCTTGGTTTATATCCCAGAGACAAAACTAGTGTTATCTCACTCCCCCACTCTCTCTGTGTCTCTCTGGATTTTGTTTTATTCAGATATGAAGTGGAAAAACAAGTTCTGGGGCAAATCTCTAGAGATAATCCCTGTGGGGACAGTGAATGTCCATCTTCCCAGGTGAGTTACCAACCCTTTCCCTGTCTCCTTTAATCCTTATGGGTCTCTCCTACAAATCCCCATACCCCGAAACCCGGACCCCTCTCTTGTGTTCTCTTTCTCCCAACAAAAGGTTTGGAGATCACTATGAATGGAACAAAGTGACTTCCTGCATCCACAATATCCTGAGTGGCCAGCGCTGGATTGAGCATTATGGCGAGGTGTTGATTCGAAACACTAGAGATAGCACCTACCACTGCAAGCTCACCTTCTGCAAAGTAAGTTTGATCTGGCCCTCCTTCCACCCTGATCCCTTTGTCTGTGCCTGCCCTGTCCTCCGGTGTCTGTATTCCATCCTTTTCCCTGTCCTCTTTGCTCTGAACTCATCCTGTGTCAATTCTGCCATTTACCAACTCAAGCCCAGAGCTTGGAACTAACACATTAAAAAGTAATGCACTATGAAATCCTAGCCAGAATCCTATTAGTGTTTGCATGGGGTTTGTGTAATTTGCTGTGATGAACTGTTGCTAATTGATCAAGTGTTGAGGCACATCTCAGTTGCATGCCCAGTTACATAACCCAGATCCATTCCAGCACCTCATCAATTAGCCATGTTGGCAGGTTATATTTGAACACCAATGTGTTTCAAGTGCAAAGTTATTTGCGTTCTTAACTTGGAATTATGAGGACTCAATTACATCCTTATCCTCATGTTTTAACAGTACTCTTTTAGGATTGTATTCATATTCTTTTTGGTTTGCAACAAGTAATTTCCACTTACTGTTCCTAAAAATTGCTTTTTAACAGGGCATTTGAAGTGAGATGTTGGCTCTTTGTCATTCATTCATTTTATTTAAAGCTAGATTTCTCCCAATAAAGAGACTCAATGTGGCTCACGAACGTTTCTTTCTCTTTTTTTAAGGCTTAAAAAAAGTAACAGAATGAGTTTCAGTAGTGCACAAGGGTTTTTAAATAATGTTCCAAGCTCTGGTCAGACCATTGGTCTAGCTAGTTCAGTAGTGACTACTGAAGAGGGATCTCAAGGTTTCAGGCGTGGATTTTCCCCTAACCCTAATATAGAAATGGAACCCCACTGGGGGGTGGGGGTGGCAATTAAGGATGGGATTTTAAAATAATTTCAGACTACAAATCCCATAATTCTTCATTCTGGGAGTTCTATATGACAGATACCTAAATGTTTAGGTCAGAAGAGATAGCATTTAAGGTAATTCTTCATTCTGGGAGTTCTATCTCACAGATACAGTACCTAAATGTTTAGGTCAGAAGAGACAGCATTTAAGATATCTATAAGGTGTCTTTCTGTTAACTAGAACTCCTAGAATGGAGAATTATGGGATCTGTAATCCAAAAATTCCAGTAATCCTATCCCTGGTGGCAATGGTAAAACCATTCCTTAAATATTTCATGTGTCTTGAAAACCTTGATAGCGTTGCCATAGGTTGTATGTGACTTGATTGTATCTTGCCAATTTTTTTTAAAAGTGGAAAATGTCAGAGATTTAGTCTGATACCTTCTGCATGCATAGCATGTGCTCAGTTACTGAACTCTGTCCCCTCTTCTTAGTCCACCACCCCACCCCACCCCGATACTGCTTTTTTCCCCTCCTGCTTTCCTGGCATGCCAAGTAATGTTTTGTTGCCTTGTTCCTGGTGTTTTGATTCTTGGCTCTTGGGCTTCCTCACTACAGTTTCTTAGTCATGGTCCTTGCATGTATTCCTGCTTGCTTGACTGTACAAAGTCTCCTCCCAGATGTAACCCTAACCCTCCCATTTCTGGCAGGCACGGTACTGGGGTTCCGGGGTCAACGAGGTGCAGGGCGCCATTCTCAGCCACAGCGGCAAGGTTATCCACCGGCTCTTCGGGAAGTGGCACGATGGGTTGTATCGTGGCGTGGCCCCCGTCGGCAAATGCATCTGGAGGCCCAGTAAGGAACCACCTGTGCTGGGGAGCAGATAATGGGGAAACCCCCAACCACCTGTTCTTCTTTAGTGGGGCCTGGTGAGGGGTGGCCCCATAGTCTTTAAGTCTGTTCTAAAATTCAATGGATCTCTGATCTTTGGAGCAGCTCTCTGTGTGTGATTAGATGCCTTACAAAACAGATTCACTGATTGTGAAACCAAAGAAAACATAACACAGCAGGCATATAAAATGTTTTTTGAAAATTCATAAATAGATCAATTTCCAGTGCAGCAGCTAATACTGTACACAATTCATGGAACCTCTGTTGTTTGTCATATAAAGATTGGGTTCCTTACTGTCATTGTTTAATCTTGAAAACACTTGTGTGTTTTTTTTAACATTTTTATTTTTGCTTTTGAGGGTTTAAAAGCTGCTGGTGGTGGGTGGGAACAAGCAGTCAAAATACCTTCAATACAGTCAATACAAGATACAGTTGATACCTTCACAATAATTATTCAAGAAAGGCTGGCTGTACCCTGTGTATTTCAGTCCTCTGTTATCAAGTACCTTTCAGGTGTGCTGGACTACAACAGGTATCCTCAGCTTCCAGCCACCCCTGCTCTAATTGCTTAGTAGCAGTATTTCCTCTTTCTAGTTTGGAGAGGCATCCAAGCTTTGGAATGTTAGTAGCCACATTCTAATCTCCACCCTCAGGCCTATTTGTATGTCTTACAACCTGCACGCTTTATGCTAAAGAAAAGGGGGAAATCTACCCTTTTTAACATGTCTCTAAATTCTTAAGAATGAATGTAGGTGAACACAGGGGAACAACAAAGCAGCACAAGCTGTTGCCTGGGAAGCACAGTTGAGAAGTAATGCAATATATGGGGACGCTCCAATATATCTTCTAAAGTGTATAGGGAGGGGAGGTTTTTGGCCTACAACTCTTACCATCCTTAGCCAGTTAAACAAATTCTGTTCAAATAACTCTAAGCCCCAAGTCTTACAAAGTCTTGCACAAGGAATAAAGGCATATATTTCTCCCACACAAACACTTTTTTGGGGGGACAGGCTCCTGTAAAATCAGCTGCTCCTTTTCCTATACCCACTTTTATCTTGGTTCTATTTGCTTGATGAACAGCTAGAACAGCTTACACTTCTCGGGATAACTCTGTCCTTTCCCCTCTAGTTGTTAGGATGTCAACATGAAATTGATCAAACTGAGAGGGTATGCAGTGCCCTGACATGAGTTTCTGCCTTTGTCCTTCCCTCCTTCCAGATCCCATGCCTCGGGACTATGAGAAGAACTATGGTTTCACTCAGTTTGCCTTGGAGCTCAATGAGTTAACATCAGAGCTCAAGCGCCTCCTACCCTCCACAGACACTCGGCTGAGGCCTGACCAACGGTAAGAGGGCAGAGAAGCCATGGAAGCATCTACATGAAGTTTTTCAAAATTCTTTTTGGTGTTTTGAAGTGGTCTTCTGTCAGTAAGATAGGCAAAACACAATCACTATGTTCACTGTTACAATCATAGTACGGATAAATGTAGGGTATAAAAACCCAGTGTGGTTTAGTGTGGTGTACCCAATGTGTTGTAGTGGACAGATTGATGGACCAGGAGTCAGGGGGCCTGCGTCCAAATCCCCATTCAGCCATGGAAGCCTACTGGGAGTGAGAAACTAGTAGAATCACTCCTTAAATATTGAAAAGCCCTCTTATGGTTGCCGTATATTCATTCTGACTTGATGGTGCATAACAATAACGTAACAACAAGTGAGCACAAAAAAACTACAGTCGGGAAAAGTACAGTTGGGATTGAAAATAAAACTGCCAACATTATAATGCCATTGTACAAAACGATGGTAAGGCTGCACCTAGAGTATAGTATACAGTTTTGATTGCCGCACCTCAAAAAAGACATACGTAGTGGGAAAGGTGCAGAAGAGAGCAACTAAAATGATTACTAGGCACCTCCCTTATGAGGAAAAGCTACAGCGTTTGGGGCTCTTTAGTCTAGAGAAAAGGCATCTGAGGAGCAGCATGTCTGAGATGTATACAATTATGCAGGAGATGGATAAAGAGGATAGAGGGAAGCACTTTTCTCCCTCACGTAATCAGGAGATGGATAAAGTAGATAGAGGGAAGCACTTTTCTCCCTCACGCAACCCCAGAACCAGGGGACATCCACTCCAATTGAATGTTGGGTGAGAACAGATACGTAAAAGAAAATATCTCTTTACCCAGCTTGCTGTTAGTCTGTGGAACTCCTTGCCACAGGATGTGGTGATGGCATCTGGCCTAGATGCCTTTAAAAGGGGATTGGACAGATTTCTGGAGGAAAAGTCCATCTCAGGTTACAAGCCATGATGAGGATGTATAATCTCCAGGCTTAAAAGGAAGGTACCGCAAAATGCCAGATGCAGGGGAGGGGTATCAGGAGACAGGTATCAAGTTGTCTCGTGTACTCCCAGAGGCATCTGGTGGGGCCACTGTGAGATACAGGAAGCTGGACTAGGTGGGCCCTTGGCCTGATCCAGCAGGGCTCTTCTTATGTTCTAATGTATGTTTCCCCCAGTATGTTCTGATTGTCTTGTTGTCTCATAAATGAAAATGTGTCTCTCAGAGTTTGGTGCCCTTCCAATGCCTGTAGGTACCTAGAAGAGGGAAATGTTCAGGCTGCAGAGTCGCAGAAAAGGAGGATTGAACAGTTACAACGAGACCGGCGTCGAGTGATGGAGGATAATAATATTCTTCACCAGGCACGCTTCTTCAGGTACTTCCTTGCTTTCTTCTGTTCTTTGTGGGACCTATGTATGGCCTTCATGCAATCTTTCCCTCCTTTCTCTCACTCTTTCTCTAAGGAGGCATGGTAGTGTCATGATTAATTTCCACATGCATACCCAAATGTTGAGGGGCCATATTTGGTCCCCCCACCAATCTCCCACACTAGAAGCAACCAGAAGCTCTTTTCCAGTTTTGAAGAAGGAGGCTACTTGAGGTCTTAGAAAGGTCATGGTTGGTCTGAAATAGACTCTACATGCTCCCTGGAGTTCTTAGGAAGCTCAAGTGGTCCTTTTTAGGTTGATAGTTTTTATACTACTATGGGATGTCTAGGGTGATAATGCTTATAGACTGTGGGACACATAATTCGCACGTTTGGTTTAAAGAGTTAGCCAATGGACAGTCTAGTTCAATCCACAGAGCTGACTGGTTGACCTTGAGCCAGTCATTGCCTGACCCAACACAAAGGGCTGCCGTAAGTATTGAAGAGAGTGGGACATACGCACCAGCTTCGATTCTTTGGACAAAGTAGAAGAATAAAAATACAGTAATTAGATGCTTTTGCAATGTTCTAAAATGATTCCCTTGGTCTGTGGCATGCCAGGATCAGGGATCTTCGGGATCACTTGCACTTGCACCTTCTTGATGGGAATCTGAAGAACTTGACAATGGGGGATGAGAAGCTGAACTGTCTTGGCCTATTTTGGACATGAGACCAGCAACCCTGTTAGTCTGTTCTAGAAAAAAACAGCAAAGACAATGTAAAAAACTAAAAGGTGTGTTCTGCCACAAGTTTTTGTGGACTAGAACACACTCATTTCAGACGCTAGCAAGGTTATGCTCAAAATTCTACAAGGTACGCTTCAGCAGCATGTGGACCCAGAATGCCCAGAAGTACAAGCTGGATTTCGAAGGGGCAGAGAAACTAGAGACCAAATTGCAAACATGCGCTGGATTATGGAGAAAGCCAGAAAGTTCCAGAAAAATATCTACTTCTGCTTCATTGACTATGCAAAAGCCTTTGACTGTGTGGACCACAGCAAACTATGGCAAGTCCTTAAAGAAATGGGAGTGCCTCACCACCTTATCTATCTCCTGAGAAACCTATACATGGGACAGGAAGCAACAGTTAGAACTGAATATGGAACAACTGATTGGTTCAAAATTGGGAAAGGAGTACGACAAGGCTGTATATTGTCCCCCTGCTTATTTCACTTATATGCAGAATACATCATGCGAAAGGCTGGACTGGAGGAATCCCAAGCCGGAATTAAGATTGCTAGAAGAAATATCAACCTCAGATATGCAGATGATACCACTCTGATGGCAGAAAGTGAGGAGGAATTAAATAACCTCTTAATGAGGGTGAAAAGTGGAGAGTGCAAAAAATGATCTGAAGCTCAACACTGATCCCATCACCTCCTTGCAAATAGAAGGGGGGAAAATGGAGGCAATGACAGATTTTACTTTCTTGGGCTCCATGATCACTGCAGATGGTGACAGCAGCCACGAAATTAAAAGACCTCTGCTTCTTGGGAGGAAAGCAATGACAAACCTAGACAGCATCTTAAAAAGCAGAGACATCACCTTGCCAACAAAGGTCCACATAGTCAAAGCTATGGTTTTTCCAGTAGTGATGTATGGAAGTGAGAGCTGGACCATAAAGAAGGCTGGCCGTTGAAGAATTGATGCTTTTGAATTGTGGTGCTGGAGGAGACTCTTGAGAGTTCCCTGGACTGCAAGGAGAACAAACCTATCCATTTCGAAGGAAATCAACCCTGGAAGGACAGATCCTGAAGCTGAGGCTCCAATACTTTGGCCATCTTATGGGAAGAGAAGACTCCCTAGAAAAGACCCTGATGTTGGGAAAGAAGTGAAGGCAAGAGGAGAAGGGGATGACAGAGGACGAGATGGTTGGACAGTGTCATCGAAGCGACCAACATGAATTTGACCCAACTCCGGGAGGCAGTGGAAGACAGGAGGGCCTGGCGTGCTCTGGTCCATGGGGACACAGAGACCGTTGTTAAGTCAGACATGACTTAATAACTAAACAAGAAGAAGAAGAACACACTTTGAGAGATTTGAGAAGTGTTTTCCTTTGACTTAACAACTAAACAAGAAGAAGAAGAAGAAGAACATACTTTGACAGATTTGAGAAGTGTTTTCCTCATTTAGTATATACATGTATACATTTTAGATGAGGTGGGTCAGGGATCCCATAAACCAGTAAGGAGTAGAGTATGGCTCTGTAGACCTTGTACTGAATCTCCCAACAGCCTAGGCAGTGGAGCCAATGCTGATGGATCATGGAAATTGAAGTCTCCCAACCTGTGGAAAGCCACTTGTCTCCCATCCCTGCTGCAAAAATGGGACAGCAGGTATGTGATGCTTCCACCCAAAGTGCAGGTTTGTGCAAGATTATAACAGTGGCCATTTGCAGCAGCTGCAGTTACTGATAACATGGTCTTTCTGCCTTTGCTGTGTTGTTTTTGTGCCACTTGTAGGAGAGAAGCCTTGATTAAGACCTTTGAAATGCAATCAGATATTGTCAAGTATGTAGACAGTTATCTGAACATGTGCTATTCTCATCTAGAGAGAATCTGAAATCTTCCCCCCTCCACTGGTCATAAAGTCACTGAATTGTAGAATTGGAGGGGACTTCAAGGGTCAACTAGTCCAAGCCCTTCCTCATGCAGGAAATCCACAGCAAAAGCATCCCTGAGGTAGGAGCACCCAATCTCTCTTTAAAAATGCTGAACGAAAGGGATTCTACAACTTTTCCAAGATAATCTCTTCCTCTGTTAAACAGCTCTAACTATCAGGAAGTGATTCCTAATGTTTACTCAGAATCATCTTTTTTTTTTTGTCCTGGGCAATTTATAAAATACTTGTCTGCTTCTCCTTTTAAAAACATGAATTCACAGTGACTCCAGATGCTCCCCTCACCAGGGGGTTACTTTGGCTTCTCATAATACTTCTCCTCTCATTCTTCCTGTGCAGGCGGCAAGTGGATGCCAGTGGCAAGGAATCCTGGGTAGCCAACAGCACCTACTGGAAGCTAAGAGTGGAGCCTGGCTTCAGCAATATGGACAGTGCAGTCTTGTGGTAGCTGCAAACAGCTTTGGGAGCAATTGTGCCTTTCCACTGTCTCCCAGAGCGAGGGGGGAAGCAGACAATGAAGGTCCCTGCCCCCCTCACTGATTAAGCACAAGGCGGTTGAGGCATGCAGCCATGGAATACCAGCATCTCACTGAGCAGTGAGGGTGGGGTGAAGGGAGAAACTCACCTGAGGTGTTATGCCATAACCATCCAAAGCAACACTTTCCCACCCCCAGTACACTTGAAAAAGATGCCCACAGTCCATCTCCCATTCTCGCACTTCTGCCCGCTGGTTGGGCAGACTTTGATGGAGCTTGGATTGTCACTAAGGCTGATGAGGAAGCACTTTAGCATCTCCTAGCTCAGAGTGGGGCCGGGTTAGAAGCAAGAAAGGCGGAAGGCCCTGAAATAACTTGAAAACTGGAGAAGATCTGTTTTGGGAGGCTGCCTTTTGCTCACGTAACAGCAGGAACTAAATGCTTGGACAAAGAACAGCATTGTGAGAACAGAGGAGCCTGGATACTGGACATTTGGGGTTCTTCTGACTACGCAGCAGTTCCGGGGTGGCTACTTGCTCACACACCCTCTTCTTTTTTCATTGTTGTGCCACCTTCTTTCAAGGGAGCTGAAGTCTTCAAGCCGTTCCAGGTTCTTTGTATGAAAACAGTCTATGCTAATAATCTTTTTTTTGCAAGAGCAGATGGTGTGCTGAACTGTGCCAGTCCTCTAAGGAGACTTCCTTTTCTCCTAAGGTGACTGTAGGTCTTGAATTTCAGTATGGGTGATGGTAGAACTTCTTTGAAGCACAGCACCTTATGGAAGCACTCCTGGACATCTGGCCCACTTCAGGAATGAGTAGCATTGAAACTGGACTTGTGTTTTTTGGTCTTATCCCTGCTATTTCCACCTTTTCCCCCCTCCTATCCTCCACTTTTTCTTTGGCATTTGAAGCAATAATTTAAAAGGAGGTGATAGAAAACCACTAGCACTTCCTGCTTTCCTTTGTAGTGAAGTGTAATTTACTCTGATAGCTCAGTACCTCAGCATCAGGTCAGGATCTATCAGTTTGTGAGATTAAAAGATGTCTTGATTCTATTTGAGTATAGAAGCAGAAGGGCATATGTAATGTGAGTGAGTTGAGTGAAACTATCCAGTCCATGGAAACAAAATGGTCTAGACATCTTGAGTTGTTTTCTTAGCTTTATCAAGAAGAATATAGAATAATATTAAGGTCTGAGTATTTGGGTTTTGTTTCTGGGAGACAGAGTGAAGAAGATGAAGTATTTTCTGGCTGTTTCTAAAACAGGCCCACCCATCTTGTGACTCACCAAGCCAAAGACAAACCACCAGCCATCGTATTTAGGCTGTTTGTTGCTTGACAATCCTTGGAATGGTGGCCCTTAATGGGCCGCCGTACATGGACACAGAATTAAGTTTGGTGGGTTGTATGAAGTTTGGAGGCTTGGCTGAGGTTAAGTGTGAGGGACATTTTGCCTTCCAGATGTTTTGGACTGTGTTTTTCAGAAACCTAAGCCAGCATGGACAATGGCAAGGGATTGTGGGGGTTATCTTTCCAAACATGGAAGGTCAGAGCTATAGATCAGTGGTTCTCAACCTTGAGTAACCCAGGTGTTCTTGGACTGCAATTCCCAGAAACACTGGCCAGCATAGCTAGTGGTTAAGGCTTCTGGGAATTGCAGTCCAAGAACACCTGGGTTACCCAAGGTTGAGAACTACTGAATTCCTGATGTAGGCTTGCTTATTCTGTTTCTTCAGTCCCACTAATGGGGAGGGGGCAAGTTGGCTACAGAAATTATTTTTTAGAAAATATCCATATAAAGCTCTTGCAGAGCTCAAATGCAGATGTGAGACCTCCATCGTTCAAAGCTCCCAAGGCCATCTTCTGTGTTTTTACATCTGTCTGAGCTTTCTTAAAATTATAAAAATGTACATCTACTGCTGTACTGGCCATTTATCTGTAGCACCAGTGGAAACATGAGTAAAGCAGAGTCCCTTCACTAGCTCTGAACTTAGAGCAGTCTAGTGATCACGTAACTTCGCTTTTCCATATAGCATCCAGACTTACTCTTTTATGACATGTCCTTAGGGAGAAAACAGGGTTTAAACAGGCCTTCTTGCTGCTGAGATTCTTGGAATAAAAATTATAAAACACTGTGCTACCTAATTCCTTAGTTTACGTTTACTTAATTCACCCTTGGGTGAGCTAAACCTTGGGTGAACCGAACATCTCTTGGAGCTTTTCTTGTTTATTGATCTAACCTAATATTTCAGTGGATCTGAAGGATATAGTATAATTAACTGGATGGCCATGAAATACTTCTTTGCTTGGTTGGAACTTCATTAAGTTGGAGCCTCTTCTTGCAGGCTTGTATCAATTAATTTCAAGAATGGCATCGATATTACACCATTATAGTCATTTGATAACCACTCTTGCTGCCATGGATCCATCCCATAGAATCCTGGGATTTCTAGTTAGGTAAAATACTTTGTATTCTCTGCTGTACTTCAGCCTGGGTGCACTAGAACACTCTAGCAAGGATTCTAAGTACCTCACCAAACTACAGTTCCAGGTGTGCACAGGATGGAGCTATAACAGTCCCTGTGGTATCAAACTGTCTATAGAAGGCACATAGCATTCACAGTATGACACTGAAGCAACAGGGAAGGGTGTGAGACTCCAAGATTATTTTGGGAACAGAAGATCTCTTTTGGTTGGTGGGGCTCAGCCTTGATCTTCCCTTGAGAACTACTGGCTGAAAGGGATGTGATGATATCTCTGTGGGAGGGGAGAAGACTTTTAACATCTTCATGAGCTATGCCTTCCCCCACTCTACTGCCAAAGGAAGATTCTGCTCTACACGCCCCAATAGATGTCTTGTCTGTTTGTCCCTCTCTGTGTGCCAGGTGTCTCTCTCATTTTGTTAGCCCCGCAAACTAGATTGGCTTGCTCTTGATCACCTCACCCGGCTGGTCCGGCGCTGAGTCGCTGCTCCATCTTTTGTCTCTGTGTTGATTGGCCTCTGTTTTGTCTTTGTGTTGTGGCTTGAACAATCCACAGTGTGTCCAATAAAACAAATTTCAGAAAATTCCGGTATGTGTCGGCCATTTTGTTTGTCCTTTCAACTGCTCACATATCTGTTATCATCCGAGTATTCAGGTATTTATCTTTAATCAGCAATTTCATAATGGTAGCAAACATTCATATAGGGTTTGGGGTAGACAACTGGGACCCTCTAAAAGTTGTTGGACTGCCATGCCCATAATCCTTCATCAGTGGCTATGCTGGCTAGGGGTTCATGAAAGTTGCCATCCTATATTGGGGGGCATCCCCAGAACTCTTAGCTATTACAGTACCTCTGTAACAAGTTGGGTGAACAGTTATCTGTTTACATAGACTCACCAAGGCACAAAAAAGAGAAGTCGAGGTGTCCAGCCTGGATTTAGTGTGAAACTGGAAGTGCTTGCCTGTTCACATGTAACCCACTGGGAGCTGTTTTGTTTGATGTCTTAATACAGACCATATAAGAATGAGAAACCAAAATGGAGCTCATATTTGGAACAGGAGAAGGAAAAGTGCCCCCCTCCAGATGTGGTTATACTACAGTTACCATCAGTCTTAGCCAGCATAGCCGATGATGGAGTAGTACTTCAGCCCACCCAGAACACTTAAAGCTATATCCTAGGAACATTGTTTCAGTTACCAACACCAGTAGTAACTGAACAGTCTGCTGAATGCCAACTGCTTTGATATAGTGGAAGGGCTAGTGTGAGGTAAGTCTCCTGTGGGCATCTGTATAAAAAGGGCCAGCCTCAGATATTTTACTGCCTAATACGTAAAATACACTGTGTTCTAAATTCTAGTTCCATGTATTGAAGTGGGCCAAACTGACAGCAGATAGTTGTCTATTAATGTTAGCACTGGCAATGGGATGTCATCCCTCAGGAAAACAGCTTGCTTAAGACATGGGGACAGGTTGTGTAATAAAAATGGTGCTGTCTTCCAACCTCCTGCTGCTGCTAATCACAGCCCGCCATATCTGTTGCCTGAGATGGCAACCTCTCCCTGGCTAGTGGTAGGGCTGGCTCTGCATAAAGCAGTGGTGATTAAACTTTCACTCTCCGCATGTTTTGGAATATAGTCTGTACTATATAGAATATTTTTCACTATCGGTCTTCGAGATCATCTGAGAGTTGTAATCGAAAATGTGGAGGGCCACAAGTTCCGCAGCATATAGGATCAGCTATGCAGTAAAAACCCTAAGAAGCATAATACCTGCCTGTAGCAAAGGTTGACATGGTGACACAATGGCACGCTTACAGCTTTACAGTTTATTTAAAGAAATTCTTAAGCCAAAACAAAAACAGGGAGCCTGTACACTGCTTTCAATAAATATTTGCAACCATCAAGTTTTTTGTCATTTTGAAAAATAAAGTTTAAAAAAAGAACCTGAAAACACCATAAGAACCATTGCGTCTTGCACATCCACATAATTTGTTTGCTTGAAGAGTGTAAACTGACTTCCCCACCCCATCCCCACTTAAACAGGCTTGACAGAAACTGCTAAGCCATAGCAAGGGCTTAAGAGGGGAGACCATCCCTTTTGATTGTCTAGCATAGTTAAGTTCACTTCAACAAATGACTATCAAGTCTTTCCAGGATCAGGACTTATAAACTATCAAGAATTTTTTTTCCAGAAATGGAGAAACACTCTTAAGGAAGAGGTTGAGGTATAAAAATACAACCTATGTTTTCCCCTTATTATTGATAAAGCTAACTGTTGGGGTTGAGATGTAGAAATGATCAACTTGGGCCAGTCCCTCAGATTGCCTCTTCTACATGCACCCCATTACAATGATGGGAAGCTCCATTTCTAGAGGGCATGCACAGAAGAGTGGCCTGATGGATTGCAGTCAGTACTGCTCTGGAGATGTCCCCACGCTCTCTGTTGAGTGTGAGGTTAAACCCTGAAGTAAATGTTATAGACCTAGCCAAAGGGGCACTGCTGTACAGCAGAAATAGGGAAACCCGGATCGTCCTGATGCACCCGCTATCATAGCAAGGGATTGTGGGAGCTGTAGTTCAAAATATTTGGGGCCAAAGATTCCCCAACATAAATTTAAAGGGATACTCTGCTTGTTCTGGTTCTGTAGACAATATGCTGTTGTTTCCCGCCTCCCCAGTCATCCTCACCACCTCTATGGGAAGGCCTTTTGCACATTGGACACAGTATTGCTGACTGGGAAACCTGTTGAATTTACAAAATTGAAGAACTGGTTTTTCAGGTTCAAATTCAGAGCTTTTCCTTGGTGTCAACGCACCGATGGATGAAAGCTCACCGAAACCCTGGCTTACTGTTATTTTTCTTGATTAGAAATTATTTGCAGTGTCCCTTCAGTCATTTGGACATGGTCAGGTCCAGGATCAAGGAAGAGCAATTATGCTAACTTCCTGCTCTGGTATGGCTTCAGTTCTGAAGAATCTCATGATTAATTCCAAGGAGTCTTGACCTACGGTAGAATCTGTCCCGTGGCTTCATATCTTAAGATACTTAAAATTCCAAGCAGCACCAAAACAGGGTTCATGAACTCCCACACTGCTGAAGACCTATCCAGTTGAATGTCCAGATAGAAGAAATCACAAAGTCTATGTTTCTGAGCCATTCTTGTTGCACCAGAGTTGTGAAATTAATTATACTCTAGATTGCACTGACCTACAACTCCCATCAACCTTAAGCAACATAGCCAGTGGTAAGGGAAGTTGGAAAGAGCAGTTCAACACATCTGACCAAAGTTAAGAAATCTTTAGTTCAACGGTATATGGAAGCCCACATTCTTGGTTTGCACTATTACTTCGGGGGGGGGGTCTCCAAATTATCTTTAGCTTATGGTTTCCTCAAATTGATAGCATAATTCAGCAGCTAAATTAAGTGGGAAAACAGTGAGCATGCACACACACACTACCTACATTGGTACAGCTAAAACTGTGCTCATGACCTGGGGTTCAAATCCCAGGTAGCCGGCTCAAGGTTGACTCAGCCTTCTATCCTTCCGAGGTCAGTAAAATGAGTACCAAGCTTGCTGGGGGGGCAATGTGTAGCCTGCATAATTAAATTGTAAACCGCCCAGAGAGTGCTTGAAGCGCTATGGGGCGGTATATAAGCAGCACGCTTTGCTTTTTGCTTTTGCTTTTTGTCCCTAATATCACTTATCTGGCTGTTAACAATAAGGGTTTTGTTGCCTCTGGTTTATGTAAAATTCCCAATTTGCTTGAGAAATAAATTGTGACCCTTGAACAGCCCTGGAGCAGGAGTGGGCTCTTCAGGTATTGTTGGATTGCAACTCTAATTTTCCACTCAACATTGGCTATGCTGGCTAGGGCTGATGAGACTTAACAGGGCCATAAGTTGCCCACACCTGCTGTAGAGCACTGGCAAAGCAGTATAGTTATGATTTCCAGATCAAATAGATAAAGGGCATTATCTCAGAAATAACACTCCTCTTGCCCTAATCTAGTCACCTATAAAATGTGATATATGTCCAAGAGACTGAATGCAGGTTTAAGCTAGGGTGGCCTTGTGTCTTATTTTGCAGCATACAATCCTCTAACTGAAAGGCTGTTAGAGAACAGTTCTCCATCTGAAGTCATATTTTCGTTGAAGAGCTGTCTAGTTTAAAAGTAAAGAACCACCAGAAAGGAGAGACAGCAGAGGCCTGGAAGTTGCTCATCAATAGTTAGCACCTAGAGAGCAGACCGAGTAGGTACAGAAGCTGCCTCATCACAAATCTTCCCCACTCACCTGGGGGAGATACAAAGTATTTAAATTGAGGTAGGCAACTACCTATGGGGCTGGAGGTAATTTTACTGGCATCACCAATTCTTCTGGAGCTCAACCCATCCAAGGCCACCATTGTTGAACTGGCTGTTATAGTGGCAGCAAGAAAAGTCCATGTTTTCCCCCTTGAAGCAAGCAGCATGCTCCATCTATGCTTTGTTTACAATTAAAACGATGCTTCCAAGCAGTTTCTGCGAGTACCATTTCATTTGTAGACAAGATACATCAGAAATTTTAAAGAAGTTATTTTTCTCCACCAGCCAGAAAGAATAAATCTGGTGGTGATAGGCACACAACAGCCATCATAGTATTTCCACATTTGCATTATATGCAATATTGTGCAAGTTGCAGTTCAAGCAATCCTTGTACTGAAAGCAAGGGGAAACAGAAAGACCAGGATCTGCAGCCTTAGATATGCACTCTGGAATGGGTTCAAAGCACATCTGATTTAAGCCTGAGATTCTCCATCCATTTGTGTGTTATGTTATACAATGCAGAATGGAATCCCCTGAGTCTATCACTCCATCCACTAGATCAACAGTTTCCCAGCCTTGGGTAACCTAGGTGTTCTTAGACTGTAATTCCCAGAAACCTGCACCATCAGCTCGTGCTGACCAGAGTTCCTGGGAGCTGCAGTCCAAGAACATCTCGGTTACCTGAGGTTGGGAACCACTGCAGTAGAGGACAGTGGGTAATAATAAGCTCTGATAACCTTAATTTTGAAAAGAAGCTCTCAGAACTGATTTCCCACAAACTTTCTTTTTCTCAAACCAATTTTCTAATTTTTAAATTGCCCAAAATATTCATGCTGTTGAATGTAAGAATTTTTTTGGAAGGGGGGAGGGAAGCCAGATTGTAAATGCAACTATTCTGATCTGGATCTAGCTACATATAAAGAACGTGTTAATGTGTGGCTAGGTGTGTAAAAAAGGGACCAAGAGGAATCTGTATTCAAGGTACAACAAAATGTATCTCCCAGCCAAGTGAGGCACTGCAGATAGCAAACCTAGGATGGTTAGTGGCATACTTTTTTACTCAATAACAACAACAGTAAATCCTGCCAGAGGAAGACACATAAAATTTGTGCCTGTGATTCCTTTTACAATATGGCAAAGTCTGCTTCTGTGTACAGATTGTCTTACCTGGAACAAAGTGGCTGTGATCATCAAACTGATGCTTAGCAATATGGCCTAAAAATTCAGCAAGAAAGGTAAGAAAGGTAGGGTTGTGCATATGTGTGTTTTAAAGGATCCTCCAAGTCGTATTTTACATCTCGATTTTGCAGCTGGATTCATGATGGTTAGAAGTTTCATTTCAGTTCCCTTAGGTAGGCAACAACGATGGAGACCAACAGCCTAACACGGATTGCATTAAATGTGTGGAGAAAACCCTGGAGGTTTGTTCCATTTTACACTTCTTTGGGAGTGCATATGTGCTTGTTATCTGCCACACACAGGAGCAAGGGGCCCTTACAGAGCCCAAGTGTGTGCATCCCAGCATGTGGCTTGCATATTCTGGTATCTACAGGTCAACACGAATTCATACCTAACACCAGAAGACTAGCACCTGGAAGTTGCTGAATAAACAGAGATCGCTGACTAGGACAAGCAACGTTCTACACCATAGCAATGTTTTTGTCAGTGCCTGTAAAGGAGCATACCTTTCCCCAAACTAAATGGTACCCCACCCTTTTTCTTCTGGCAGGCTGCCCGTGATATGAGTGGAGAACTGGATGTTCAGAAGGCTCCCAGCGATTTCCCCCCCTTCCCCTTCAGTTGCCATAGAAGCCATAGTAACCACCATCACCTCCTTCTTTGTCATAGAGCTCGCCATTGCGGATGGGTGGCGAGCTCTCGGCACTGGATACATATGGAGACACCCTTCGACGTTTGCATTCAGCTTCATACAACCCAGAGTCTGACGAATCCACTGACTTGACCGAGCCCAGCTCTGCCCAGACTTCGCTGTCCTTCCCTTTCTCCTCACCAGAGGGGGCCGTCTGCAAGTCCCTCATAGGTCGGAACCAGCTCAAGGTCCCAGGGGTGGGTTTGGGGTGGTGATACTGAGGTGGGGTGCTCCAAGGGGTTGGGGGACCAAAGGGATGTTCCTGGTAGTAGGGCAATGAGGGGTGTGGAGCAGGCTGCAAGGCAAAGGGCTTTACCCCATAGGGCATAAATTTGTTCCCTCTGAAGTCACCCTCATAGGTGCTGTATTCCAAAGGGGTAGGGGGTGGTTGCTGTGAAGCAAAATACCAGTGGTGGGTATCCTTGGATGGTAGGGGGAGTGGGGTGCGTTCCCTATTGTAGAAACGGCTCTGGGGGAGTGTGTATTGATCATGCAAGAAGGCTTGGAAACGGCTGTCTGCCAGGAGCTGCTGGCAGCTGGCAACACTGGGTGGAGACGGAGTTGTACGGTCTCCTTCAGTGGTGGCGTACATCCTGGAGAGGGGGGAAGGAGGTGAGAAGAGAAAGAAGGAGTGGGTATGAGACTTAACGGGTGAAGCAGATGACTAGACATGACATCATGGTACAGTAGATCATAGAAAACACAAAATCATGGTTTGCAAGCTAACTCCAAACTAGGGTTCTAGGAGCTACCATTTTTGCATCAGTGTGTCATGCAGGCCTTGGGCCTAAGCTCTTCCCTAAATTAGCCAACCCGTGCCGATTAAAAAAAAATCCACAGAGAACTAGAAATGCCCAACCAAGCCCTTCCTGTTTTTTGTTTGGTTGGTTTTGAGTAGTCTGAAATTACCCCACCCACTCCACCTCCACCACCATCGTTGCTCATCTTGGCTTGAAAAGTAGAGAGCAAGCATAGTAAAAGATCTTAGGTGGTTACAGCAGAATGCAAGTTTTTGAGTTTCACAGAATTCTGAAGGACGGTTTAAATACTGAAACCAGGAAGTTGCAACAGTCTTACTTCAGAACTTAAGGTTGCCTAATTACTGGTGGAATTTGAGAGTACACAACTGGAAGACTTACGAATCAAAGTTGTCCCGGAATCCTTTTGCAAAAGGATTGTGGTCTATCTTCAGCTGGGTGATCTAGGGAAACAAAGGAGAAAGTGGCAGAGTGCCTGTTGTGAAAGTTCATTAACAGAGATAGACAAGCGGATTACCTCCCCACGCACCTTGGAAGGAACTACAAGTGGTGCCTCGCTAGACAGTTACCCCGCATGACCGTTTTTTCGCTAGACATTGACTTTTTGCGATCGCTATAGCGATTCGCAAAACAGTGATTCCTATGGGGGAATTTCGCTGGACAATGTTTGGTCCCTGCTTAGCAAACCAATTTTCACTAGACAACGATTTTGACAGCTCCCTCTGCGCTCGCAAAATGGGTGTTTTCAGGACCTAAGCTTCGCAAGACAGCTATTTAAACAGCTGATCGGCGGTTCGCAAAGCAGCTTTCCTATGGCCAATCTTCACTGGACAACGACGATTCTTCCCCATTGGAATGCATTAAACAGGTTTCAATGCATTCCAATAGGGAAATGCTTTTCGCTAGACAATGATTTCGCTAAACAGCGATTTCAGTGGAATGGATTATCATCATCTAGCGAGGCACCACTGTAGTTACATTTAACTGCTGCCCTGAGTTGTGCCTCATGTACTAATATGACAAGGTGGACAGGAGGAGAATGTGCCTTATGCCAAAGACCAGGGACCTGTAGCATTCAGATGTTTTTCAAAACCAACTGAAGAGCAACAAGTATGGTTACTCTTGAAAAAAAATGAGAAGTGTTTTTTTAAAGAACCAATAATTGTTTATTTGAAGTAACTTTCTTTTCTAGCTAGTCCCTTATTTGATCTTGTCAAAAACGTATGTTCAGCCATCTGTTAATATGTCCCACTTCATTTGGTTGGTTTACCTGAAGTAAGACTTAAGGTTGCAATCCTACAAACACATACAAGGACATAGATCCATAGAACACATTCGGATATACCTCTGAGTAGATATGCATAAGATTGTATTGTAAGGTTGACAATCTAAATCTATCTATTAGCTGTACAGTACATGTAATAAAACATAAGACTTGGCACTCTGTTTTTGAGAGGCATTAACACATTTTCATGTTACAAAGCACTCCTGTTCCAGAACAACTGTATTTGCGCCATAGTCAAAATTTAATTTGCACCATAATTAACAAGCCTATTCAGACAATCTGGCTGAAATCCTGTTTGTTCTGGCATGATGTAGAACTCTAACTATAGGTAAGAATGCATTTCCCTGGTGCTGAACATGGAAAAACACAAACAGCCATCACTGCACAATTGTCCCAACCACTGTCTGGCATGCATGCTGAAATTCTTTGTGAACGGCACCTCTGCTCTGCTGTGATTTTCTACCGTTGCCACAACCTCATTCCTGACATCAGCCAATATGTCAGAAAGAGGAAATCTTTGGCCCTCCTGATGCTTTGAACTTCACTGCTGATAATTTTGCCATGCTAAGTGAGGCTGATGGAACCTGAAGTCCATGATTTATGGAGGGTCAAAGGCTTCCATTGGCTGGCTTGTGTGGTTCTAATTATGATTGTACTAAAATTACTGGCATCCATTGTTTAGTGACATGAGATTCCTTGTGACCACTGACACAGCTCCTTTTCTTCTATACATGGCAGCCAGGGAAATCTATTCTTCCCTTAGCTCAGAGGTGTTCTCAATATTTAATTATTTAGCCTCTCTGAAAATGGGTCTCACCAGAATGTGAAGTTACTTTTTGGGATGAAAGCTCACAGAATGGGGATGTTAACATCAAAAAAGTAACTTTTCCTAGCTCTAGATTTGCAGGGGTCTCAATGCACATGGTTCCAAAATTAAAGGTGGCCTCCCTTTATGTTTTTTATGGCTTTCATTAACATGAAGAATTTACTGATTTAATTGCCTAGTCCATTTTTAATTTGTTTTCAGTTATGCTTGTTAGCTGCCTGCAGTGCTGTTTTTAATAGAAAGGCAGGACAAAAAGGGAACTACCATTAAATAATTCCCAGCCATGTACATATTCATTCCAGACTGCTCTCCAGAACTAAACACCTTCTCATCTCTCTTTTATTCAAAGGGAGACAGAAGAGTTTGGAATGTTAGATTAGAAAATTAACATGTTAGTGTTCAGCGTTAGAAATGGGGAAAAGTAATTTGTTGCTGTTAACCTTAAAAATAAAAAAAAAATTTAACTCATTGATTGAGCAGTATTAACTTACCACTTAAATTGCTAGTGTTAAAAGAAGCAGTGGGGATTACAGGGGGATTTTGCTGTTGGCCGCTACAGATGCCTTTGCCAGTGGCTCCTTCAGAAGTGGTTTTGTTGTTTCAAAATTTCCCTCCCTAATTTAGTACTTTTTCAAAGCAGATTACAAATCCCAAAACACAAGCAATAAGCTAGAGGTAACTCATATCCTCTAATACTGTATTTGCTAAAACGGTGGAAAGGGCAACAGAACATTCACCTACCTACTCCTCAAGAAAAAAACATCCATACATTACCAAGAGTGTCATTGTACACAAAGCTACAAGCCAGTAATTTTTTTATGTAATATCAGATGCATTTCTAGAACATGACAACTCCCAAAATTCTCAGCTGCACCTCTTTGGCAACCAACTTCCTAACACATGCATCCCATCCCTGGAGCAGTAATCACAATTGAAACGTACTGCTCCCAATCTCTTATGGATAAACCAGTTTCAAAATGCTGCTAGAGGTTTGAAAAGCACACTGAGCATTTGATGGGATGTAAAGCAAAATCAATGTGGAAAAAACAGGTGGGAATGATTTGTATGGATCTATGTAGAGCCATTCGCATTCAAGGCTATTCCACCAAGAAATTTCTGGAGCTCTAGTCCCAAGACACACATACCCCGTTTAAGTCAGAGAACCATGACTCCTAAAGTATTTTTTAAAAAACCCTCTATGGCTCTTTCCATTTTATGAAGATGGTGAGGGATGTATGGAAACACATGTGCCATTTATAGAGGACAAATCAATATGGCATTTAATGACTAATATTGCTATTAATTTTATTTTTACAACATTATTTCATAACACCACATTTATGGATTACATTTTTGGTCCTCTGGCGGCAAAAGTAACAAATGTAACATTGACACATTAAAAATTAACATGTTTTTCCAACCTCTGGGTTGGTTAGGTTTTCAAATATGGCATGTGCTCCCTCCCCATGCAAACTCACGTCAGCATTCTGGTAGGCCGTAACAGCGATGAACTGAGTCTCTGGGAAGGTGAAGGTCTGGGTACAAAGGGAAGGGTGCGCTTCTTCTAGCTCACCCTGCTTGGCCTCGGTAACATGTAGACGTGGCTGATACTTGTGCAAGGACTGTAACACAATCATCTGCCAGACAAATGGGACAAGATTCATTTAAATGTGATCCATGAGTTGCATCTCAGCATATTTTTGCAATGCTGATTCAGAGTTTACAAAAGTAACTTTTTTGGACTGTAATTCCTAGAATCTTCTAGTGTGCAACTACTACTGGTCTACAGATCTGGAGATAGGCACCCTTCAGGTGCAACCTGATAACACAAAACCTCAAACTGATTCCTCAAGTCCATTTTGGGACTTAAGCAACTTCAGTTCCCATGGCTGCATTATCTTGCCAGAACTATTTTTTTCTAGCTTCTCTTTCCCATTCCAAAGTTTCTAAGATCCACTCTAATGAGCTAACTCTTACTGAATGACATTTTGATCACTCAGTGAAAATACTACTCAAATTTGTCTTTTTGCTTTATTCCAAAAGGTAACTTTTATAGCTCTGATTTTAACTCTCTGTTTTTCAGGGTTATTACCAGGGGGGCGCAGTATCAGGTGGGCAGGTATGACAAAATGACTTATTCCAAGCCTAAAAGCCAGAATTACCTGTGTGACGTTATTGGGTGCTCCTTTGTTATTGGTGAGCTTTAACTTCCCAAAGGAAATCTCTTGCCGCATCCAGTGGGCTCCTGTATTGGGCGAATCTGGATGCATGTATGTCCGATTCCCTGCCAAAAAGATGGCATTTCTAGTTAGCATCTCACAGCTTCTCACAACATGTCTATGTTACAGATAGTTACACTTGTTTGAAACCATTTTCACCAATAATTCTCTGCTATGATTATCAGGTCTCAGGGTTAGCATATGAGGATAAAAATCTCATGGTGGGCGTACTGGAGGAGGGGAAAGGGCTTTTTGGGGGGTGGGGAGTGCACTGTGACTTTAAAACTTGGTCACCTATCTCCATTCCCAGCTGCCTGACACTAAGGCTCAGCATAAAGTTCAGCATAAAGGTGTCTCCATGTGTCTTGTGCTTGAGAAACACTGGTGCACTGAAAAACAAAGAACAAATGGTGGAGCCTAAGTAGAGAGCTGATGGGTGTATGCACTTTGGCTTGTCATGTTGTTTGAAGCAACACAAGGAGTAAAGCACCAGTGTCATAACTCATGAGTCTTCTTGTTACACAAGCTCCCGTGGCAGTAGCAAATGGACCAGCAGCACCCTCCACAGAGATGTTCCAGCAGCCGTGCATCAGCACAGGGCTTGTGGGGGGGAACCCTGTGTGTCATGAGCATTATTGGTGAGGTCACTCAGGATGTGAGTCCTAGTGGGAATAGTAGCAACTACTACAGCTACTGGTGTAATTTGGCTTCTCCCTGGCTGTCCAAAAATGTATGCCAGACTACCTAAAGATTGCTGTATTACTTTGTTAGCTGAGTTTTGAAATTTCTCAGTATTAAAAAGCCAGTAAAAGATGACAGCTTAGATGTTAGATGTTTTAACAAATCTTTTCAACCTCTTCTATGGAAGAGGAGTTAGTGAAATTTCACTGATATTGATATTTCACTCTATTGTATTAACCAAAAAGCAAAATGCCAGAGCTTGCAATGACAAGCTTCATGAGCCATTTGCTCAGGTCTTTCTTAAAAATAATATATGACAGAATTGAAAAGAAATATAAAGAAGAGACAGGAGAGATGAAATTTGGACTGAAAGGTGGATTGGGAAGCAGAGAATTACTATTCCAGGAAAAAAATTCTTGGGAGAGAGGACAGGATGTGAATGTGGATGATTTGTTGACCATGCTGTTCTTAAACAAAGTTCTTGATTTAAATTTTGGTGGCTGTTTTGGCAGCTGGTGCCCCTACCAATTCACATTTAGAAGCAGCACAAGAAAAGTGGCAAAAGGGCTACATATGGTCCATAGGTTATTTACAGCCACTCCTTTGTTTAAAGATATGCTGCTGGACATGCTAAAGTTTAAGCTAAGGGTCCTATGTAGAATCTAGACAACATGTGCCTACACCCCTCAAGTACAGTGTACTGTATTATGAATGTATTGACATCAGCAAATGAAGATAACAGGAAGAATATGTGTTGAAATGGGTAATGTGAATAGTAAAAAAAAGAAAAAAGAAATTTGCTGTTCATGCATGACCTGCAAGTATGCAGAAATGGTTTAAATACATTGTTGCTGTGCAATTTGGTCCATATACTGAAGTGAATGAAGTAGATCACCCTGGATTAATGGTTGTCCACATTATTTTTATTTTCCTACATCCTTCCTATACCTAGGATGACAGCCACTAATTTCCACTTTTAAGATACTAGCTGAATCCTGTTGCACAGCTCTATATGTGCAATGGCGATGACGTCATAATTCACAAATCACTGCTGATTCATAACAAATTGCTGCTAATCAGAGCTGATTTTTGCAGTATACACGATTCATACACAATTTGATGAAGTTACGTGTACCCTGGAATCCCCAAAGAAAGCCTTTAACCAACTGCAATCTCCTGCTGCTGCTAATGTCATCACCACCGTGCATGTGGAGGCACACAACACGATTTCAGCTAAGATATCCCGAGGCATCCTAACCCATGTCAAAGTAGGACAGGCACAGCTGTTGAATATGAAAACTCCCATAAAGTTACAACACATCAGATATCTTAGTTTGTACAAGGAAAGGTGCCAGTAGAGCCATGCCATGTACTCTGGATCTCCTGCACTTGATGATAAATGAACAGGGTAAAGACTAAGATTTATTCAGTTGTGAAGGAAATACAATTCTGCATATCTGCAAAGGTGCTTTAAATTTGTTACTGCATCTTCCATCTTGTGAGAACTCAGTCTGAAGGACTAGACCAGAGTCAGAAGATTCCTAAGGCTCGGCAGAACTTCACTGGTTCCAGTTTCATCTAACAAGTCTTGAAGCTGCAGTCTCATGCTCTGTCTATTCATAGTACAGGTGAGGCCAAGAGGTCCCCATGAGTTGTGCTCCAATGGCAGCCACGGTTCCTGCTTTTGCCTCTTTAATGGCCAGGCTGGGGGCAAGACTGCCAGTGAATGGCAACGGGAAGTGTAGGATTTGCACCAATGATTTCCAGAGGAAAATGATGCAGTTTCTTGCCTCTGCCACTAGATGGAGACATGGCTCTGGAGAACAGGGCAACACTGAGCAGCACAAAAAGGTACTGCAGCAATAATGGGGAAGAGGATATCTTCTCAAAATCTTGTAAACATAACAGACATTTAGCTTGAGCAATGGGGTGGGTTGGAATATTGATAGCTAGCTGAAAAGCTCTGTGCATTGGAGTTTCCGGCTCCACTGTGCTTTGCAAGAGTGGGGCCATCTGGCATTGCCAAGACTGTGACTGGCTGATGGGGTTTATGTACCCTACAACTTCTGGCCTTGGGCAAGCTGCGCAGTTCCAGAATACTACCAGCTGGAGGGACTGTTAAACTACTTCTGAATACAGTACTTTATAATAGAGGTGTGCAGGTTTGTGTTTTTCATCTAGAAGTCTCAGAATTCAATTATTGGCATTGTAGTCCAGAAACACAAACTTATACAACTAGCTCTTCTTTATCTCTAGAAACCCCTAGTTACCACCAGTTTAACTTGACTTGACAGCAGCACATTAATTATTACCTGAAAATGTTTAAAAACATCTCTAAATAAAACAAATGGGGAAATCCAATGATCATCTGCTGTTCTGTTCCCAGTTTTCTGGACATAATTATGTGGACAGCATGTGCTTCCAGAAGGAATTTTTCTTTGCCCCACTGCTGAGGCCAGAACCTGAGTAGCTATTGACAGGACCAGCTAAGGCATTCCGCTACCTGAAGTGTAATAGCAAAGGTCACCCCAACCCACTTAACTCAGGGTGCACAAAAACCAATGCCAGATAGTTGATATTTGTTGTTATGTGCCATCAAGCCATGTCAGATTTATGAAAATCCTATGAATAAAAGATCTCCAAAATGTCCTGTCCCCAACAGCCCTGCTTAGCTCTTGTAAACTAAAGGAAGTCAGTCCATCAAGTATTTGGTCTTCCTCTTTTCCTGTTGCTTTCAAATTTGCCCAGAATTTTTGTCTTTTCCAGAGAATCCTGTCTTCTCATGATGTACCCAAAGTAGAACATCCTCAGTTTCAACATTTTTGCCTCCAGAGATAGTTCAGAATTAGGTGGTACTTGGTACTAGAGGTGGGAGAAAAAACCCACAGACACCTCTCCCTGACATGAAAATCCTACAAAAAAATAGCCAACTAACAATTTGCGGCCTTTCCTGAGACCCAGAATTAGTGACCTGAGCTGATGGCCCCACACTTCAATGGTGGGCCTGGTCATGGGCATCAGCTGTGAAGATAAGGGAATATGTCCTTAGGTAGATATGGTATATGTGGATGCCTCCCTAGTTAGGCGCATGAATAATTTCACTGAAACATGCTCGAAGAAAAGGCATTCGGTCCTTTTCATACTGCATTTGTATTAAAAAGTGATAGGTAAATATGCTAAATAAATAAATGCAGTATGAATTCTTAGAATATATTTTTACTCGTTACTGATCTATGTACTCTCGAAGGCTTTCATGGCCAGGATCCGATGGTTATTGTAGGTTTTTTTGGGCTGTTTGGCCATGTTCTTAAGGTTTTTCTCTCTAACGTTTCACCAGTCTCTGTGCTGGCACCTTCAGAGGACATGAGTCGGAACTCTGTCTGTGCTCAGTTTGTGGGATAGTTGAGTATTGTTAGCTGTGGGACCAGCTTTTGTCTTTTTCAGGAGATTGGGTGATTATGGTGATCAGCGTGGTTTTTGTTGTGGGTGTATTGTTGTGATATGGAGAGAGATGTTGTTCTTTGCACTTTATTTTAAAGGATATGTTTTTGTAGTTTTTATAGTGACTTTTTATTGTATAGCAATATTTTTATATGATCTGCATCCAAATTATGAGGAGGTTGTATAGTCTTTAGACATGATTTATTAAAATCAGTAAACAGTAAAATTCATGACTGAATGTCAGCTGGAACTCAAGGATCTCAGCTAAGGGACTTACTTGTAAATGAGTCCAAAATATAAGAAGGTTCCAAACATGTTCACAGTCGCTTTGGTTGAACACCTTATTATTGTCATCTTTGTAGAGTAGAAACTCCTGTGGTCCATCAGAGGTTGTTGGACTCCAATTTCCAACAGCTCCATTCATTATGACTACTTGTGTGATTCCCTGGGAGCAGCAGTTCATCAAAATCTTGAGGGATATGAGTTCCTTCACCGAAATGTATAGCACTTTTTCAAAATGTAAAGCCCTTCTCACTCTCTTGGTATGAAATAGGCAACTTGAGGCCCTCCAGATATTGTGCGACTATGATGCCCATCAGTCTTAGTCCGCATACCCAATGGTAAGGCATGACAATGAGGCATGCAGTACAATACTGGAGGGCCACAAGTCACACACCGCTGCTCTATGTAACCACTATACAAAGCAGGTTGACTAAAGTGCAGGGACATACAGGTTGTGATGTGGGAAAACCTCATACAAATCACAACTTAGCTATGTCATCAGGCTTATTTGTGCCCTATTGGATTGTTGTTTTTTAGTTGTTAAGTCGTGTCCGACTCTTCATGACCCCACAGACCAGAGCACGCCAGGCCCTCCTGTCTTCCACTACCTCCCGGAGTTTGGTCAAATTCATGTTGGTAGCTTCGATGACTCTGTCTAACCATCTCGTCCTCTGTTCTATTATGACATTATTACAATTATTTGCTCCAGCATAGGAATCAAGACAGGGCTATGCCAAGCAGATAAGAGTTGCCCGGTCTCCAGTTTCAGCCCTGAAACTGAGGCTTTGGAGTCTGTTTTCCAGTTCTTGGGATTTGGATTTGCAGTTTCAGACAGGGGGTACTGTCAACCTGACACCCCATAATTTGGAGTCATTTTCAGGGCATATCAATTCACACATGTTCAGAAACACGCTTTCTGCATGTTATCATGTATACTCACTCCCTGTCACATCACAAGGCTTGCCCCATCTTACATCTCAGACACTGGTGAATGAGATTATGATGACCTGGCAACCACATCTTATATACTCTGCTCCCCAAACAGAGGTTAACTTCTACTTGTGTGTGGAGGTCTCAATTTGGATAAAACTTCCACATTCTTATTTTAGCTGACATATATTTTATGTTTTCTGTAGTTTAGCTCTTAGTCTCTCCCTTCCAAGAGCAATATGATTATAAAAAGCACTAATTTCTTTTATGGGGACACTGCATGGATTACTGAGATGAAATACATAAAAAAGCAAAAGGTAACCATGTTGGCCATAATATAAATTCCAAATATCATCTTAGTTGACCATTTCTATTAGGCCCTTTTGGTTTGCCTAATACTTTTATTTATCTCCCTAATATTTGAAGACAGGAGGGCCTGGCATGCTCTGGTCCATGGGGTCACGAAGAATCGGACACAACTAAACGACTAAGCAACAACAATACTTTTATTGGTTTTAAAATAAATATAATCCATGTGACATGCTTTGCTCTTATTAGCAGCATTGTTATGGTCACCTTCTAGCTGAGAGGCTAACAGCTAAACTAGACATAATGTTCTTTGTTGTTTGGCCTTTTAAAAAACCTTGAACAGATAGCCAATGTGCATAGGATTGCCAACTCCCAGCGGAAGCCTTAGGCAGCTGTTATGCAGGGAAACAAATCTCAGGTTGAATAGCACTGGAGGAAAACCAAATGTGGGGTTTTTGCATTTGAGGTTTTGCACTGCTTCCCAGCTGGCACCAGGTGTGTTTTGATGACTGCTCGGCTGCTTTTTTCGTAGTTTTAGTTTGTTACATTACCTGATTAGCCAGGTTTTACCTCAGATTCTTGGCTACTCATTGGACTTACTCAGTGCCCATTTCTACAATGGCAGCACTGGAAGCACTGCAGCTCCCTCTCCTATTCCTTGCCTGCCCTGTGTCTATGACATCACAAGGACACATCCACTAGTTTCAGACTAGTGCAGGGGAGGTCTTTTAAAGAAATGACAACTTTGCTCTGCTACTGTCCTGATAGGAAGTTCTTTCCCTGTCTCCCTGCTTCCCTCTCTCCCTCTCCCCCCACCTCTCTCTCTCTCTCTCTCTCTCTCTCACACACACACACACACACACACACACACAGAGAGAGAGAGAGAGAGAGAGAGAGAGAGAGAGAGAGAGAGAGAAACTCCCATTGGTGGTGAGAGTATGTATTGATCTTGGGGACATGTGCACACATATACATAAATACATAGACACACATGCTATGCACCGGAAATTTTACTTTTGGGACTATATCTCCCTGAATCCTACAGGCAGTAGGGTTACTACTAGCAATGCTGACTATAGGATTATGGGGGGTTGTAGTCCAAGTAAGCTATTTCCTCGTAGCTTTTTTTCTGCATCATTTATTTATTTCATTTATATCCTGCCTTCTTTCCCTTGCAGGACCCAAAATAGTTTCTAAGTATATAAAACTAAATATAATGCATAAGAATAACACCACATCTTATCTGGATCTAGTTAGACACATTCCAGTCACTTTTAAGGTGAACTGTCAGGAAGGAAGTCCTGTTTAAATAACACAACGGCTATTTGTGTGAAGGGCCTAGAGTGGGTCACATCTTGGCTTTGGGCCCACTTCAGCCATGTGGGCAGCCATCTTGTCACATTTAAGGGCGAGAAGGACTACAGTTGCTAGGCAACAAGGTAGAAGGGAAAGGAGATAGCCATGGCAAGGGATAGCACAAGGAGGGACAAAGGAAAAGTGGTCTACAGAAAAGGGGAGAAAAGATTTCTCCATCATACCTGGCATACTGCCCTCTGCCTTGCCGCACTGAACCCATTTCCCGCCTTGGTACCGCCAGTGGTGCTGGTCAACTAACACAATGTCCACATAGATGCTGTAATGGGCTACAGGGTCCAGGCCAGAGATGTTGAAGCTCAGAAATGGAAACATCCTCCTAGTCGGTAGTGCAGAAAGAGGGAAGGGGGAGTGGGAGAGAGAAACACAAAGAAGGCCATCACATCTCCCCTTTGCCTCAGACTTAATATTTAATATTGTTAGTCACGACAGGCTTCTTTTGAGGTTGGGCATTGGTTTGAAGGAAACATTATCACATCACTCCCAAGATTTCAGTCTCCAGTTTGGCCACTAGAGTGATTGTAAATCTAAGTTATATAAGCAAAGGGGAATTATTAAAAATGGATTCAGATCCACAGAGTTTTGCAGTAGAGTGGCTGTTTTCATGTGTTACTTGCACACAAGAAGGGGTGATGGGGCCTCTCTGGTCATCCCCAACCCCAACATATAGCTAATACACAGATACTGTTCTGGTGTATTAGCATGGGTGTCTTTGTGAAGAAACATTAAAGGTGTTTCTTGGATCTTAGAATATTAAATATAATAAATATATAATCACCAGTCTCCTAGCCAAGCCTTTCCTGAATAGAGACCCACAAAATACAGTGGTGCCTCACTTAACGGGCACCCTGTTTAACGACGAAATTGCATAGCGATGAAGATTTTGCGATCGCAAAAGCGATCACATTGCAATGTTTTAAATAGGGAAAAATCGCTTTGCAATGAAGGCCACCAGGTAAAAAAAAATGGCCGCCCGCTGTTTTCTGGGACGGATTCCTCGCTTACCGGACAGCGAAAATAGCCGCCATATGGAGGATTTTTGTTTAAAGGTGAGTCTGAAGCCCATAGGAATGCATTGAAGGGGTTTCAATGCATTCCTATGGGCTTTTTAAAATCGCATAGTGACGAAATCGCTTTGCAGCGATTTTTGCTGCACCGATTATCGTCGCTATGCGAGGCACCACTGTATTCTATGTTGCAACTCTCACAATCCCTAGCCATGCAACTAGTAAAATCGGTCTTTCCTACAACAGCTTGAAACAAGACAGCAGTTGGAAGTGAGACTTGAAGCAAAGCTTTGCAGTGTGGAGTGCTGTTCAGGTTTCCAACCAGTAAACTGTTCCAATCCTTTCCCTTCCCCCTGGTCTTCTACTTCCCCAACTCCAATGGCTTTCCATGGTCCTTGAGCATGCATAGGAACCAAGCATCCTCACTGAATGCTTGGTTCCTGTTGGACTTAGGTTCCTCATTTAAGACCACCTTCCCATAGGTTTGCTGACACTCAGGATACTGGCTGGAGTATGAAGGAATTATTTTCACCAAGTGCTATCTATGCATATTTTTTGTACTTTTGCAAAAGTTGGGTCATTCTCATGTGCACACAGATGGTGCTGTTACCACACTCAAAAAGCAAGGTCATTGTTGTTGTTTAGTCGTTAAGTCGTGTCCGACTCTTTGTGACCCCATGGACCAGAGCACGCCAGGTCCTCCTGTCTTCCACTGCCTCCCGGAGTTGGGTCAAATTCATGTTGATAGCTTCGATGACACTGTCCAACTATCTCATCCTCTGTCATCCCCTTCTCCTCTTGCCTTAACACTTTCCCAACATCAGGGTCTTTTCCAGGGAAGCAGTATTTTTCTTTGCAGCATCGGACTTTCCTTTCACTTCCAGGTGCGTCTGCAGCTGAGTGTCCTTTCGGCTTTGGCCCAACCACTTCATTAGCTCTGGAGTTACTTGTCCTTGTCCTCCACTCTTCCTCAGTAGCATGTTGGACGTCTTCTGACCTGAGGGGCTTATCTTCCAGTGTTGGTCTGTATAGTTGGTCCATTGAATCAATAGAGATTTTGTGAGACTCTGTAAATTCCATTGATTCAAATGGACCTCCTCTAGTTGTGATTTACTATGCAAATTTGAGTAGGCTCATTCAAATCAATAGAACATACAGAGGAGCTGACTCACCAAATCCCCACTGATTCAATGAGCCTACTCTAATGTGATTTCCTGGGCCTAAGGAGCAGGATTATGGCCTGTCTCCACACTTGGTAACCTGTCAGATGTCACAGACTGCAGTTTTTATTGAACCAGAAGCTAAGGTTCTCCTACTGACAACACCGATAGATGGTTTATTTTTTTATTTTTATTTTTATTTTTTTACAGTGAGCAACCTGGTTTCAGAGAATGAAAGGAAGAGGAGAAAGGGCCAAATTGCCATGCTCCACAAATATCACATTCTGGTTTTCATCTCTCTTTTCCCACAATGGGAAGGTGTGTTGTACATTGTGTTGTACATACTTCAGCTGCCTTTATAAATTACTAAATACAGCACTAACAGTTCAGTGTTACAGTCTACTTTCCAGTGGTCAATACATGTCCAGGCCAATTCCCTACTCCCACACGCCTTTCCAGCATGACATCTCAAACAGAATAACTCGCAGACGCACACAGTCTATCTTTCTTTCATCAAAATCTGCCAAACTGACTGAGACAGGTGTAAAAGCAGCTCTGTTTCTCTCTTACCCCCACTGACCTTAACCAAATTCTCCACCTCACCACTTCCCTCTTGCTCCCTCCCTCCACCCTCCCCTCCTCCCACTACATTTCCGGTTCAGAAATAGATACTGCTTCTATTTTCAGAGAAAGCAAGAAGGAGAGAGAGAAAGACTCGGACGATGGACCAAAAACAGATGGCTCGAGAAGCTTATTCCCAGGGTAAATTAAAGTCCTTCAGAAACTAGAGGTGGAAAATCAAAATGATATTCTACATGCGCGCGCACACACAAGTTCACCCTTCATCAATTAATATTATGTTTAGCCCACAAATGTTCTTCTAGGTTCAGCTTAACTAAGGAGAGAGAGAAAGACTCGGACGATGGACCAAAAACAGATGGCTCGAGAAGCTTATTCCCAGGGTAAATTAAAGTCCTTCAGAAACTAGAGGTGGAAAATCAAAATGATATTCTACATGCGCGCGCACACACAAGTTCACCCTTCATCAATTAATATTATGTTTAGCCCACAAATATTCTTCTAGGTTCAGCTTAACTCAAACAAACAGGAGCTCATGAGCATGCAGCTCCGATACAAAGCTTAGAGAGTTACATTTAAAATGTAATTTCTTATGTAACTCATTCTATTTCTCCACCATCGTCACTGAAATTGTAGCTGTTAACATTACCAAAAACCTTTTTTCAAGTGGAGTTTTGCGCTGTCCATTACTCTTCTTGAGGATCTTGTTTCATTTAAAATTAATAAGAAAACAACCTAACATTTCAAAAGTCCTCCCATAATGCCTCATAAAAAGTATTTTACCACCCAAAAACTAACAAGTAACAGTAAGTGTTATACAATTTTCTGGAAAAGGTACTGATGTTACTTGTCCTTACCTTATTTACAAAAGGAACATACTTATGTCCTTGTTATCCCCAAAACTTTCACACTGTAAGTTACTTGTAACACGTTACTTTCAAACTCTGCTCCCATTTATCACAATGGAGCTTGTGCAAAAGGAAAGAGAAAAACACTTCCCAGTATACTTAGTTTTGGCAAGTGTCGCCCACTGCTCTACAGACAAGACTAAAATTGGCCCCTCAAGGCAGAGATTTCATTTTATGTCAGAGTAATTCTGTTTTTGCTTGCACCAAGCAGTGTGCAACTTGCCACCAATCTTCTCTCCGCCCCTCTCAAAAGGTAAATGAAAAGCTATAGCAGAAATATCTGCTTTAAAATAAAGGTAAATGAAAAGCCACAGCAGAAATATCTGCTCTAAAATAATGATGTCTAGAGCATGACATCTGTCTAAGCAATGAAAGATTTCTAATACTGATAAACAGTAAGTTATGTGAAATGGATGCAGGAAGGACCACTGCCTCCAATGTCTTGGTACCACATCTGTCTAAGCAATGAAAGATTTCTAATACAGTAATCTTTCTAAACAGTAAGCGATGTGAAATTGATGCAGGAAGGACTACTGCCTCCAATGTCTTGGTAGCACATTCATAACCAGACATTACAAAGGTATAACAAATTTTCTATTTTACCCCACCCCCCTAGACAAGGTCTACATTGTTATAATATATACAGTATATCTATTTGTTACATTCATAACCAGACATTACAGAGGTATAACAATTTTTCTAAATTGTGAACACGAGCATGCACGCACATATGCACATGCGTGCGCGCGCGCGCACGCACACACACACACACACCAGGCTAATCAAGTTTTACTTTACTTTAAGTCTATAGCCCCCAACAGTGCGCGCGCGCGCACGCACACACACACACCAGGCTAATCAAGGTTTACTTTACTTTAGATCTATAGCCCCCAACCCACTCATACACATAAATAGATTCCACCATTCTAACATCATGGTATGAGTGGAAACTTCCACCTGCTCTGTGGAAATAAGTGTATAAAACCCTCTTGGAATCAATTAATGGAAAACCAAGTCCCAATTCAGAACACATTCAGTACAGCATCTAGCACAATTTTCATAAGAACTTAATATTAAAAAGGGACCTAAGAAGTTCTGCTGCCAACCAAACAAAGTGGATAACAGTGCAGGTGATGACTTTCGGATGTGTGGTTTATGGGAACCAGGTACACATGTATGCAAAAAGTTCTATATCAACAACTGGGCAAAATGTTCATTTGGACCAGTTCAAATAGTGCAGAAGTGTGTAAATGTTCAAGTTCTCCATAACTCTTCATCACCATTTCATGAAGAATTAGAGAGAGCTTATTGTGCCATTGTTGTCAATCCAAATAAAGACATGAAACATTTTGGATTTTTCTCTCTCTTTGGATCAGCAAAGCTATTTAAAAAATACCGGTAAGTAAAATTATTTATTTTTTCATGAGGGCACTGAAGCACTGAAACAGTCCTTGATGAGTTATACATACAGTAGGGAATACAAACTTTCATTAAAGTTGAAATCAGTTTTTTGAGGGCTGATATCTCAAGCTAAATATCAAATTTCATTGCAGATACTACAATGTACAGTATATCCTCATAATTCAAATATTTTTCACAAGTCTGAGTCACAGCAAAAGCAGATACAGCTTCCAGCATCTTATATGGAAAGACCGGATACCAGTA